CACTTAATATCCCATGAATTAGATAAGATAAGTCATTTGTATAGTTATAAAGTAAATAGTGCATTTTGCAAGAATATCATATAAAAAGCATATGTTCACACTGTATACCATTACATTGTTAGCCATTGTTAGAAGGCTACTAAAAATGAAGATCATCCTAACATTCTTTGTCTTGTGTTTGGTAAGTAAACTAAGCATTATAATTTCCATAAAAAAAAAATAATAATACATAGTTAATATTTAAAGTCTCAGCAAGTAATAAAAGATTATGCCATTTTCTGTGCCATAATGAAAATGTCCCCTTTGTTAGTGTTGAGTTTTAGTGGATAGTACTGGCTTTTCTAGCCAGTGAGTCTCACATAGCCACCTGTATGAATACTGGTGATATGCCTAAATGCATTTCACAACACAAAAAAAGACCTGATAACTTATCCATAATATTTTTATACATATCAGGTATATTCCGCTTTGGGAAATCCAACGGAGAATGCTTTATTGCTACGCCAGCGCCGTGATGTGGACTTCTTAGCAAATGCAAGGTAATATCTAATAAGTATTTCTTTTATATATATTTATTTAATTTAAGATAAAGGTAACGGAACGAAGGTAAAACACCAACAACTTCCCGACTCCGGGCTGTTACTGATATTTTTTCATAGAAAAATCTAATAACTACTACATTTGGCGACCCGATACTCGATCCCAGAATCTCCTGACCCATTTGTTAATTGTTTAAATATGTTTAACGGCTAAGACATGATAGAGACAAAGCCTTCAAACATCTTTACAAACCTTCACATAATAATAGGTTAGAAGCTGATATAATATATGAAATATTTTACAGGTTACTTGTAGAAGAGTTGATCCAAAATCTACGTGATTCCGCTAAACAAGCTCTGGAAGCTGTGAACAAATTCGCATCTGGCATGAATGATCTGGGAAAACAATTTGCCGAAAAAATCGTAAATGACATAAAGAACTTGGGACAAAGATTTAATGATGCAATTAAAAATATCACGGACAGATTTACGGGGGCCGAGCAGGGCGTGCGCAATTGCATAGAGGTAAGCTTTGAAAACGTAATTATCATAAATTCTAACAACATAATATGCAATAATTACGGCAACCTAAATATTTACTTCAATTATTTAAATTTATGGCTTATAATTTGAAATTTAATGTACAAGATTGATACATTTGAGCCTTAGTAATTCCTGACCCTGAACATGGTGATGTAATGTGGTGATGAGTGATGTTGAGGTTAGTTAATTAATATTTAAAAAAATCTAGTCGATCAGATAACTTTCTCCTTTTTGGAAGTTGGTTAAAGAATAAAGATTTGAGAGAAGTTAAGCAAAGTGAGGAATTCTAATTTTACAAAAATTTTGTTTATTTACAGTCGCATGTAAATGAATCGGACGAAGTTTTCGTGGATATTATAGAGAAATCAAAACTATGTGCCGATAAAGGCATTGAAGATGTTGAAAACTTGATCGAATCCCTAAGTAAACTAGCATCTAATGCTACGGACTATACCAGTAATGCTGTCACCGAATTAAAACGATGTAATGAAAACGGACAAGGATTTATCACCACTAGCACGTGCTTAGGACGCATTGCTGTAAGAACTGAATTAAGAGGAGCTATTTTCATTACTCAGAGTGCATTTTTGGTAATTATTTTAAATCTCATATTAACACTGTAGATAAAATTAAAAGTGACGCCAATATACAAATGGGTTCATTTATATTTCAGATCGCTCGTATCGACCTAGCTTTGGCAACATTGCCAGTAACTCTGGAAATATGTGGGGGTGCAGGGATCGTAGAGGCCGGAGTACGCTCCGCTAAGATTTACGTAGACATTGGAAGCTGCTCTGTTTCTTCGATTTATTCTTCTCTTATTGGCAATAACGAATCTTCTCCATCAAGTTCACTTTAAACTTTGAAAATGAAATATATACTTATTTATAGACCTCTATTGTTTTATTTACTAGCGAATTACCCTTGCTTCGCTCGGGTGCGTTCCTGGGTACTGACAGTAACTGACGTTACTCTAGGATTTTTTCGCCAGGCCATTCAGTTTGTCTATCTAATAATTTTCAACCACATCCATCAAGCGTGAAGGAGTACTAAACACACAGACATACGCACGCACACACAATTAATATATACAAAATTTCGCATACAAGTATAATAGCAGTCCTTTTATATTATCACTAGCGGCTCACCCTCGCTTCGCTCGGGTTCGTCTCTAGAAAAATACAAATAGAGATCTATTAGTTCCCACGAGAACCGTTCATTTTTCCGGTATGAAAAGTAACCTGTTGTTTGACCGGCAATATAAGGTATCAGAATGTTAAATTTTTCTAAATTAGGTGCATAAGTTGTTGTGTACTAAGCTGTATAAGATACTATAGTTTTTTAACTATCCCACGGGAACTATTTAATTTTCCGGGATAAAAAGTATCTAAGATGTTGCCAGGGGATATAAGGTACCACCATGCAAAATTTCATTTAAATCGGTCCAATAGATTCGGAGATTAGCTCGAACAAACAGACAAACAGACAGAGAAACAAAAAATTAAAAAAAAATGGATTTGTTCTATTTGTCTTTTTACATCCCCCTGACTCGGTTTTTAGCTTTTTTTTGCTATGTACAGACATTCGACCTCTACTGTTTTATTATAGTATAGATTTATAAGCTTGAGTTTTTGTTCTGTGAGCATTAATTCCATTTCCTAATAGTGCGGCACAGGTAGGAGCTGTTAAACCTTTTGGTACGAGAAGGTATGGGTAGTACCGTGTGAGGATGGAATTTCCGACCAGCACGTGTGGTTTCGGAGAGGAAAGGAGAGGAGGGTATAAGTTGGAAGAGCTCTTCTGAACACTCGCCGTAATAAACGCGATAAAAAGCGGCTAGAGAAGCAACATCTCTACGCAATTGCAGAGATTCTAAGTACTGAGTAGCCTCAGGTTTATTGATTGTGCGGATAGCACGGCGTTGCAATCTATCAAGAGCGTCTAACAAGTACTTTGCAGAGCCATCCCAGAGGTGGGAGCAGTACTCAACGCATGAGCGCACTTGAGTCTTGTAAAGTAGACATAGCTGTTCAGGCGAGAAGAACCGCTTCACCCTGTTCAGGACCCCGAGTTTACGCGAAGCTAACGAAATGACACTCTCGATATGGTTTTTTTGGTTCAGATCGCTGCGGATATTAACTCCCAGGATGTTGATGCCATCCTGCATAGTAAGGCGAGTGTTCTGAAGAGAGGGAAAACAAAGGAATGGAGATTTTTTAGCCGAGAACGCGCACATCTGCGTCTTCTTGGCATTGAACTCGACCAGGTTCTTTGAACCCCATTCTGAGATGCGGTACAAGACATCGTCGAGCTCACGGACAAGTTCTGATCTCCTATTATCTATCTCCATTCGATTAGCGGATGGATGGCCAAAGTATCGACCGTGGACAGTGCTGTCGTCTGCATAGCAATGAATATTACCCAGGGATAACATGTCATTGATATGCAGTAGGAAGAGTGTTGGCAATAAAACGGACCCCTGAGGCACACCGGCGTTCACCTGTAGGAAGCTAGAAGCTTGCCCATCGCAGAGAACGCGGATACTGTAAAATATAGGAATATGTAAAAGAGTTTGTTTTAAAGACGTTTGAACGCGGGCGGAGCCGCGAGCAATGCTAATTTAAAATAAAAATTATCGCAATTTGTAATTCCCAAGAAGGGCTGATGTCAGGCAGGCGGCCGATCGTAAAACTTTAGCCAAATCCTATCAGCAGTAGGTACGGAACGTAGAGAAATTTTTACATATGGAATTACGGAAGATGTACTGCGCCGACCCCAAGTGATTATGAAATAGGAGATCATGAATTTGTAATAATTCTAAAGGTTGCTAAAAAAAGTAATAATGACGAATATGATCGCAACACAAGTAAACCCATTGGAAAATCTATTCCATTGTGTAAATCAAAGAGTATAAAAGATCAATAAACTATGCATTGCCACTTATGTGAAGATTATGATAGTGAAGTTAAATCTAATCCTACCAAAATACAAACAATAAACATTGATTTTGGCCAAGTGGATACTTGAAATACCTTAATAGAGAATAGAGTATATATACGCTATACAAAGTGAGATATACACATTACACCCAAGTGCACAAGGACATATGTTAGAACAAAGACAACATAATGAAATATATTTTTTTTCTTATTGTTATAGTACTTGTAGGCATTCAGGTATGAAATTATTTTTTTAATTTTTAACCGACTTACAAAAAGGGGGTTTTCAATTCGTCGGAATCTCTTTTTTTATGTATGTTCACCGATTACTCGATGACGCCTGAACCCATTTGCATGTTTTTTGTTTCGAAGGGCATTCTTCCCAGGTGGTCGCACTAAAATTTTATAGAAATCGGTCGAGCGGGTTTTTAAAAAAGCAACAAATTTTTTTTAATTAATTCCTTAATAACATATTTGACTGTTATTAAAAAACTTTCTTCTTACAAATTACCGGCTTGTTACGTCTACACTAAAAATATAAAAAATTAAAACCGAGCGGCAACGACTTCGAAAATACCTCATTAGATATCTATTCTAAATGAAAACCTCCCTTTAGTTACTTTTTTACATTTTAGTGCCTGGAAGTCGGTTTTCTTTTTTTTTTTAGTTTTTATTAATAAAATTCTTATTTTTCCTATGTCACAATATTCTATTACAGGAATCTTATCAACTACCGAAACATAAATATGAAATTCAAAATGTATTAAGATTCGATTTAAATAACTATCAAAGCGAAAACCAGCAAGATTTGCTTCCTGCATCGGGCGTAATAAAAAAAAAATATTTTACCCTTCCTAATCTTTGGGAGTCTCTTAGAAATTTCGTCGCTAAAATCAAAGACCAATTAAAAACTTGGTCACTAATAATAAAACAAAAAGTCCTAATACTTACTGAAAATTTTGAGAAAAGGCTAGAAATTATGAAAAATGAATTTAGAAAAATGATCAAAGATGTCCTCGTCACGGGTGACGTTATAAAGGAGTGTTTACAGGTAAGTAAATAATACTTACTAAGTACCTACTTTATAGTAAAATTCTCTCTTATATATTGTCTCATTGTTGGGCACATGTCTCCCTTCAATACGAGAGGGATCAGACCATAGTCCACCACGCTGGTCATGTGCGGTTTGGCGGACTTCACATGTCTTTTGAAAACTTGCTAGGTTCTCTCAGACATGCAGATTACCTAACGATGTTTTCCTTTAGCGTAAGACAAGTGGTAATCATGTTGGAAATGATTCGCACATGAAAATATCACAGGTCAAGGATTTGAACCCGCTTCACTCGGTATCCCAAGCGAGCGCGTTACTGGGCTACCACTATCACATTCAATGAAGCTGTGTAATCCATATCCATACTAATATTATAAATGTGAAAGTGTGTTTGTTTGTTTGTCCTTCTTTCACGTCGAAACGGAGTGACAGACTTCTTACTACTTTTTACCGCGGACGATTATCTCAATCCACGGGAAAACACATTATTATACAACTCAAAAAAATATTTGTGATCAGAATCACTTAAAACTTGGTATCCCTCCACGACCGCGGAGGTGTCAGTTAACAATAGATTTCTTAGAATTTTAATTAATTTCTTAGAAATTTACCTGGTGCTCTTCAATACAACTTAATAAATACGTGTTTTAGCATTTTTCGAAATTCATCCCTTAAGGGAGTAAAATAGAGGATGAAAGTTTGTATGAAACGAAGGTAGGTTTAAAGTTTTTTCCGTAGTTTTAGCGCGAGGGTAGGCGCGGATTCTGCTAGTTATTAATATAAATAAGTATATTGAGATTTACTCCGAAAAAAATACATTCCTCTAAAGTCTTTTGTTACATCGTTACTCTCGCAGGTGTAATTAAATTATAAGGGCTACGTCCTATTCCAGTAACATTCCGTTGGTTAGTTGAAAAGTTACTTAGAAACGGATAGAGAGATCAATATCTTGGTGACATAAATATTTAATTATTTATCAAAACAATATTTTATTTATACAATTATAATAAAACTGTAGAAGTCTGTACATAGAAAAAAATGCTAAAGACTCAGGGGGATGTAAGAAGAAAAATAGAAAAAAACATATTTATTATTTTTTTTTGTTTTTCTGTTTATCTATTTGTCTGTACAGGCTAATCTCCGAAATCGTTGGACCGATTTAAATAAAATTTTGCATGGTGTCACCATGATGATGATACTTTATATCCCCATTCAACATTTTAGATACTTTTCATCCCGGAAAATTGAAGAGTTCCCGTGGGATAGTTAAAAAACTATATTAACTTATACACCTTAGTACACGACAACTTATGCACCTAATTTAGTAAATTTTGGCATGCTGATACTTTATATGGCTGGTCAAACAACAGGTTATTTTTTATACCCCGGAAAAATGAACGGTTCCCGTGGGATAGAATTTGGACTTTTCTAGAGGCGAACCCGATCGAAGCTAGAGTAAGCCGCTAATTTACTAATATAATTAAATATATTTTCCAGGGAGACAAAGATGCGATAGAAATCATCCTTAACGGCATACTTAATAATGTCACGTCCTGTTTGTCATCTCAAATGAGTCATATCCATAAATTAGACGATTCGCAACTTTCACCTTCCTTCGATGATGAATTGATGTTTTACGAAATGAAAAATAAATTTAATTCGCGCTTAGAAACATGTGGACAAATTGAAAACCATGAAGAATGTGCGAATGATATAAAAAATGACATCATTGCCGACATAGAAAACATAAAATGGAATGCGTCACAAAAGGTAGGTAACCAAATCTTAAAGTTAAGGGTAACTTATTCAATATATTATGTACATAAATAATTATTAATTACATATACAGTGTTAAGTACCTATATTATACCTATATATAATAGCACATTGTAATAAATACGACATATTTACTTTTCTATAAAGCCCATTCCAACCAAAATAGTGTTTTGAAATTCAACCTCGAAAGAAGAAGATTCTCGAAGTATAAATAAAAGTAACTTTTATGTAGGTTCATTTAAAAATTAATAAAATTATTGAAAGGCTCATTTTGGCGTATTCGAAATTCAACGGTCTATCCTGAGGGATAACGAGGACTGGCTACTTAAGTAATAAAAAGATGAAAACAAGTTGACGAAGGAATAAAGTATTATGCCGTGGTTTGGATCAAAATAAATTAATATCTTCTTCTCCCTGCCCATTTCCCAATCACTTGGGGTCGGCGCAGTACATCTTCTGTACTGCTGATAGGATTTGGCAAAAGTTTTACGACCGGCCGCCTCACGCCTGCCTGACGTCAACCCTCCTTGGGAATGCTATTGTCTCTCTTTGTCTGAATGGTATCGCGGAAGTCTTATAGTATGCACTTTTTATACTATTACTTAAATTTTTAATTATATTTTTGGATTTATTTTAAAATAAATTTTGATTACACAATGTAAATGTAAAATCAAAATAAATTAATAAAAATTGTTATAATTTTCAGGCATTTGTTGCTAGGAGCATGATGGACGACACAATGGATAGCATTGTTAAATGTTTCACAGAAGGTCTCTTGAAGGCGTCATCAATAATTGCTGACGAAACCATAAAGATCATTCATTGTGTTAAGGATCACAATGAAATTCAGAATTAAAAAGATATGACAGAGAAGTTTAAAGTTATAAATAATAAAAACCAGCAGGTATATTACAGATACCTAAATACCTTACAATAAAAGTAATACTTCATTTGTAAGCTAAACTTGTTCTAAAATATTAAACATATGATAAATTAATACGTTTTTATAATCACATGTACCTAAATATAATGTATATTTTATAATTGGGCATGAATATAATAAAAAAAATGATCGTGTGCGAGTGGAGTTGGTGGAGGTCCGTACATTATGGGATTTATTAAAAAAAGACAAAATATTTGTTAAGAAAAATATATTTGTAAATAACGATGTAAGTTTAACAATTACTTATATTACAGGCAGTTAGCAATCCACCAATGACCGACCTCACGCGGTGCTTTTCGCGAAGTCAGAAATATGTCACATGAAATAAAGATAAGGAGTTTTCATATCAAATGAATCTCTAGTAATTTACATACTACGAGTACAATATTTTGAATTATACACACTAGATATAAAAAGTAAAAACAAATAAAAGTGTAATATTTATTCGAATATAATTAATACAGATAAATAAAATTGAATTGTCTCTTTGCAATTTCAAAATAACAGCTTTCTACTAAATAGATTTAATTACCTATATGTACCTACTAATAAGAAAAACATAATTTTTAAAATCTTTTGTCTGTCTGTTTGTTCCTGCTAAACTCCGAAACGTACCTAGAGACGCATTAGAGAACAAAAAAATATTTTTTATATTTGTTTGTAATGGATAAACTAAAAAAATACTGGACCTATTTTAAAAATTCGTTTGACTATTAAGAGCTGCATTATTAGCGAGTAAAACGGGCCATATTTATTTCCAAAAGAAAAAGATCCTCACGAAAATTGCACTAATGTAACCTAAGGAATCAAAAAATTGCCTTTGTACCTAAAGAGTCGCTAGTGATGTATATTTCATATAATTCGAATATCACAATACGTTACAAGTTGTTAGCATAATCTATACATATAATAAAATTCTAACTGAGCCGAATCTGTACATGAAATATTTTTTTGGAAAATCTTTTTGAAATAGACATTATTATCATTACAGAGGCCGAATCTATAGTTTTTAGAATTTTTGTCTGTCTGTCTGTCTGTTACCGCATCACGGAAAAGCCACTGGAGAGATTTTGATGAAATTTGGTATGATGATAGCTGGTTATCCGGGTCAATATATAGGATACTTTTTATTGCGAAAAAATATCTCATTTCTGAGAAATGTATACTAAACGTTAAAACGTAAGTTATAGAGGCGAATCCGAGCGGAGCGAGGGTTAGTCGCTAGTTAGTAAATGTTTTCCATATTATTGGTAGAAAAGTTATCGGGGACACATGGCATGACGACCTCCATCAACAGGTAGCGTTGCTCCTGTAATATTACTGGCTGCGTCACTAGCTAGAAATGCTATAACCGCTGATACTTCACTTGCGTTACCTGCTCGACCTATAGCGTGAGTTTCAGCACATTTCTTTAGAAATTCTTCATATTGTTCATCGTTCATTCCACCTTTCTTATGCAAACCTGTCGTTATTACGCCAGGGTTGACGGCATTAACTCTAACACCCTTTAGTGCCAGTTCAAGTGCAACGCATCTAGTGAACTGATCGAGAGCAGATTTTGACATACAATAAGCTAGTACGTTGGGAAAAGATCTCATTCCGGTGACGCTTGAAACATTGACGATATTCCCCTTACTCTTAATGAGGTGAGGGGTAGCCAGCATTGTTAAGTAATACGGACCACGAACATTTGTATTCATGACTCTGTCATATTGTTCCAAAGAAGTAGTTTCTATTGTTCCAGCTTCTAAAACGCCCGCATTATTAACCAATACATCCAACTTTCCAAAATTATCTATAGTTGTTTTCATTACGCTTTCAATATCATTTTCGATGTTCATATCGGCGATGACAAGTACGGGCTTTAATTTTTTCGGGGAACTCTCTTCACACAACTTTGTAACACTGTCTAATTTTGATTTATTCCGTCCCGTTATTACGACATTGGCTCCTAGCTTAGAAAACTCCACGGCAGTTTCGGCTCCGATGCCGGAGCTTGCGCCAGTTACAATAACAACTTTATCAGAAAACATTATATTCAGAATATCTATTTTATCGATTAATATAATATAGTTGTTTTGTAGCGTGTTATTTCTGTAAAAAAATGGTTATTATTAGTTTATTAAACAATGAGTATTACTCATATTATTAAAAAAAAACAATTAAATTAAAAATAATTCACAAAAATGATAAAAATATCTTTATACTAAAAAACTAAGAAACCACTTTGATTTCATCGGAACTTTATAAGAAACAGGTTTATGCTCTTGTTCCTCTTAATAAAAATTAAAAAAAAACATATACATTTTCGATATTTTCGAAATCGATGCCAGCCTACAATATTTTAAGATATGAATATCTAATAGGTAAATATGTATTTTACGTATCGAAATATATTAGATTTGCTTTGCATCACAATATCTATACATATAATAAAATTGTAACTAAGCCGAATCTGTACATTAAATATTTTTTGGAAATGAAATAGACCCTTTTATCGATACAGAGGCCGGCTGGGCTAACAGAGGCTATAGTTTTTAGAATTTTTGTCTGTCTGTCTGTTACCGCATCACGGAAAAACCACTAAAGGGATTTTGATGAAATTTGGTATGGTGATAGCTGGTTATCCGGGTCAACATATAGGATACTTTTTACTGCGGGAAAATGTCTCATTTCTGAGAAAAAATACAAAAACTGCAATGTAAGAGTACAACTACAACTAATATGTAAAACCTAAGAATTTGATTTTTGGTCATCTGAACGCGGGCGGAGCCGCGGGCAATGCTAGTCTAAGTAATAATATTAATATAGCCAAGGCAGATTAACATTTTCTGTACAAAGACCAGGTCAATGTAATAAATGTAACACATTTTGGCATGTATCTTTGCATAACCTAGTTTTTTATTCATGTATTTGGCTGAATGGATGGCAATCGTGAATTTATTTGAGTATATATTTTTAATATTATCATCATAATAAGAAGTTTTATTTAATTTTTCAAAAGATATTTTTACTAGGAATATCTAGTGACAGTGGTTTATTAGATGGATTCGTTTTGGTGATCGTTGAACATATATAAAAAAATATACCCGTAGGCCGTAGCACAGATCATATATTACTATACTAGTCTCGTAGGTATATACTTTTTTCGAAATCGAGTTAAAACGAGAGCTATAAATTAATGTAAATACAGAAAGTACCCCTTTTGAGATCAATAATCATAATTAATTGACATACAAAATAGTGATTTTTATTATTATACTATGAATAAGTTTTGAAAATATCGATACTATAGTAAAAATTAAAATTTACTTACGGGCTTACGGCCTATTATATGAAAATCCAGCTGACACTTGACAGCGTTATCACCATTGTAAATTATTATCACCACAAACTACAAACCCCACAAAATGTACATATTACGCTAACAGCAACTTACATATGTAGCAATATACTCTATGGCTAACAGATACCATAGACTACACCTATAGAGTACAGACTAAATAGATACAATACAGGTCAAGAAGTTTGTACAAAAATAATTTATTACCCAGTATTATTCAGCCCTTTTTTTTCTTCCCTTGGCGTTCCTTTAATACGAGGGGACCAGGCTAGCCCATAGTCCACCAAGTGGCCAAGTGCGGGTTGACTGACTTAACATGTCTTTCGAAAACTTACTAGGTTCTTTCAGTCTCAAACATGCAGGTTTCCTGAATATGTTTTCCTTCGCCGTAAAGCAAGACGTGGTAATCATGATAAAAAATATATTATAAAAAGTGCGTGTTTGCAAATTACACGTCACGGTAGAAGTGAAACTTCAGAAAAGTAACTTAATAGAGATAGAGATGAATATCAGGAGTAGGATAAGGATAGTAGTAGTAAGGATAAGGTAGTAGAAGTAGATTATAAGGTATTTTGAAGTGAAACTTCTTTAGAATCGTTGTGATTTTAAACTTGATAAAACGAAAATGCGACACTAAAAAGAGACAAACACATAAATATATAGGATTAAGCCGGCGAGAGAATAAGATAGAATACATTGCCATGTTGCCATGGTAACCGTTGTTATTGTCTGACAAATATTATATGTATAATATTATAATATTCTATCTGTATATGATATTTTATAAATATATAATTGTAATATGTCTAATATGACTTATTTAATTATTTCAGATGGAATACATTACACGGGAAGTGACAAATAAAAAAATATATGTATATTTGTGTCAAATCAAATGTAAAATAACTTTTAAACTTGGTAAAAATATTATTAGAAGTTTTTTTAAAGATACATAAATTGGCGCCGGAAATCAGCCATTTTAATTTTTAACTATTTTTATATAGCGTTAATCAAGACGACTCTAACAATGTATGAATCATCAAAATCGGCCCACGCGTTTGGTCTCTAGACATACATATTACATACATATATATTATGTTCTGTCATCTGTGGTCGTCTGTCAGTTGAATTGAAACTTGTAAGTTGAAACTGAAATTCTAAAGCTTGTGTATTGTACTATTGTAATTGTTTAATTACTCAACTTTAATATAATTAAATTTAATAAATTACTGACTGAAACTAAGCATAAGCATGGTTAAAATGACCACGACATATTTACTTTTTTTAGTTTTTGCGGTAAATACTATAAAATCAGGTATGCATTTTCATTTTGAATTAAGTAGCAACGCCCAGTATGTTTTATTTATTTTTGGTTTGATAATTTTTGTTTTAAATTAAAGTTTTATGTTTTATTATGTTATTATAGCTTATGCAATAAGTTGTTACCAGTGTTCTGGAACAGATTCAGATGAACCATTTGAATGTAATGAATATTTAGATACAGACACAGGATTGTCGCCAATAGACTGCGAAAATATCCACAACGCTCAATACTGTATTAAACAAGTTGGCAGATTTGAAGGTATAAATTATAAATAAAATATGCCAGCCAATAACCAACATCGGGTGGTGGATACTTTGTAATAAAATAAAAAAAAAAACACTAAAAAATGATTGCAACTAACATTATTTTTTATTCATTAAATCATATATCAGATACTATCATTAATATGCCAGGGGTGGTTATATATTTATCTATATATTTTACTTATTTATTTCTTATTTTTAAACTAGTACCATTGTTGTTGTTATTAATAAATACATTATTGGAACTTATAATTTTTACCTACTAGTTAAAGGAATTGAGTGCTACCAATGCAATACTTCAACAACGTTGGAATGTAGTGATGGCTTTTTGTCACTTGATGGAACTTTATTAAGATCTGCTTCATGTGACCATGTCTACGGTGCCCAATATTGTATCAAAATGACAGGTTCTTACTAACTACCTACTAATTGTTTTCACTACCACTGTATACTAGATGCACTTTTATTTTACTGTGTACTAGCGACACCCTTGCTTCACTTAGCTTCGTCCCTAGGTACGTTTAGCATGGAATAGTTTTTTTTTCCAATTTTTTTCAGTGAATTTTTTCGATGTTTTAATAGTTATTCTGCTATTTGGGATAAAAAAATTCCAACAAAACAAAGATCATAAAAATCGGCCTAGAGCAATTCTCTAGTTATAATTGTTGTATGTAACAAACCCCAGCTGATTTAATCATTTTTTTTATTATTGCTGAAACAAAAAAATAATTTTATAGACAAGATTTTTTATATTTCTAAGTCTAGAGAATGATGAAAATTAGTTTAAGTTTGTAAAAAATATAAAAGATAATAATATTTTTTTTAAGGAAAAATGAATAAAGGGGTAAATTAGCAGCGATCACTGCACCGTAGTGTGTGTAATCATAATTTTCGTAATTTAACCTGTTCAGCTAATACATCAATCCTCCTGAGGGAAATAGTATATTGGTAGTGTTCAAATGTATTTTTTGTTTACTATGATGTCATATTTTGTGATATTTATGAAAAAATGTTTATGATTTTAACAGATACATTAAAATATTATATGTACCTGTTTTTCTAAATATTATAAGAATATTGTTTTTATTTAATAATTTTTGTACATACATAAAAAAACTTTCATATTTTAGTAACGTATGTTATAATATGTTTTTTTCCATCATGACCATTAACCTCATCTCAAACCATCTACTGGTCTGTGACAATGAGTGAGTGACATTATATTATTAGGTATGTAAATGTGCAGCAGTACTAAAGTTTTGTCCTTAAAGTTAAAGCAAAATTTGGTCCTTGCTATATTGATCTCAGCTACACTCATCATTATACATAAATATATAGAATTCAGTATAATATGTAAATTTTGCCTTTTTTCTGTTTATTTCTTTCGCAATTAGCTAGCAGCACTAATTGTCACTAATGCTAAGTAACAACTTACACAATGTAAATAGTCTTTAGTTCTCATATGATCTGAACTTATATATTATATGCCTGAACTTATATATTATATATGTATTTTTCTATATATTATAGTGAAGTAAGGGTAAACTGTAAAATATACAACTTTACAGGAGACAAAAAGAATGTTATATTATGTAATTATTTTATCTTTTATTACTGCTATCTATAATTGCTACACATATAACAAAAATGCTGTTTATTGTTAAGCATGGTCGAAAATATTTTTGTAAAAAAAAAAAAATTAGTTTCACATTTTTATTTTATTTAGACTCGAAAATCAAATCCAGATTATCCTCCTTCAACACCTCTTTTGCTTTCAATTTTATCCTGTGTATATCATTGATTTATAATAATAGATGTTTATGTTGTTTTTATTTCACAGGAGGGATTGGTACAAAGAGATATTGCTCTTCCTTAGATCTAGGAAACCAATGCAACTATGTACAACAACCTGGTGACAAATTAGAATACCGAACATGTATTTATACTTGCAATACCGATGGGTGTAATGGAGCATCTAGCATACATATATCTACAACATTTTTTATAGTACTTTTATTTATATCAAAATGTACAGTTTTTTAAATGCATAATATTTATTATTTTATACTGTATAATGTACATATATATTTTAATTTAAGTGACCACCTCTTTATGAGTATTGTGTTTTAAGAATCTCAATTTTATAACTTTATATTCCGTCCATGAAGGTGTTGACATCACTTGTATTGTATTTTAGTCCCATATAAATGTTATAAATGTGAAAGTTTGGATTGATGGATGTTTGTTACTCAATCACGCCAGGACGGCTGAATGGGTTGACTGAAATTTGGCACAGAGATGGATTATAATCTGGGATAGTGCATACTTTTTATCCCGGAAAATTAACGTTTCCCATGGGATATCTATACTAACCGTTTAAACGTACCGAACGAACCCGAGCGAAGCTAGGGTAAATCGCTAGTTTTATTATAAACTGGCGAAACACCCTCGCTTCTCTGAATAGACATAATATATATTATACATATGTAGGTATGTATGTATACATAGGTATGATGACTTGTGGTTGTATTATAACGTGTTTTCTTCGTGGGTATGAGATAATCTCCCACGGTAAAAATAGCCAATGTCACTCTCCAGCCCTCGCAACTGTTTTCACAAAAAATTACGCCAATCCGTCACTCTGTTTAGACATGAAAGAAGGAAAAACAAACAAACAAACACACTCTCACATTTATAATATTAGTTTTTATTATTTATATATTGTATACACATTTTAATTTAAGGGACCACCTTATTAAGAATCTCAATTTTATAACTTTATATTCCGTCCACATTCCGTCCATGAAGCTAGTGTCATCACTAAGATTGTATTTTAATTTATAATAAAATATGACATTAAATTTTCTTTTCATTAATGTCCCAACTACACAGCATGTTAAGAGATATTTATTGCACATCCATTTATTTTATCAGAATAAATAGCTATATAAATATACCTAAAGTGAAATGACAATTAGGAACCATATTATCTTTTGTAGCTGGACATCTATACATATAATAAAATTGTAACTAAACCGAATCTGTACATGTAACATTTTTTGGAAAAACTTATTGAAATAGTCATTATTATCGATATAGAGGCCAAATCTATCTATAGTTTTTAGAATTTTTGTCTGTCTGTTACCGCATTACGGAAAAACTATTAGAGGGATTTTGATGAAATTTGGTATGATGATAGCTGGTTATCCGGATCAACATATAGTATACTTTTTACTAAAAATATCTCATCTCTAAGAAATTTATAGTAAACGTTAAAACGCAAGTAGGGACAAACTCGAGCGGAGCGAGGATGTGTCGCTTGTATACTATAATATAGAGGTCGTAGTAAAAAGAATTAAATGTTCAAACATTTATTGAAAATTTGTGCTACACAAGCATGATATAAAAATACACAATAAATATTAACGTCGACTTAGCCACAAAACTAATTTACTAAATTCAGCTTATATGCAATAATACTTTTGATTCATCTCACTTACCTAACATCGTTGTTATACATGGAATGTTAAAACGAAATTTATGAAAATACTCTACATATTTTTATATTTGAATTGTTTAATGTATATTGAAATTTGAATTAAGCTTTTGAAAATATGTACCTATTTAATAATGATTTTGTTATAATATAGTTAAATGTAAACTTTGATTTACAAAAAAAAAAAACGATTTTAAGCAGTGGTAAAACATACACTTAATGAAAGCTGACTTACTACAGTTCTATTTCTTAATAAAATATTTTAAGCGATCGCTAATCATTCAAGCAATGAAGGCTCACAACGTAGCACCTACACTATATCAAGTTATTAAATGAAAACTTCCATTATTACGTACAAAAAATTCAGGTAACATTTTTTGTACAATTTATTTTATAAATTATCTGGCAGTACATTTTTCGATATTGAACGCTAAAGTACATATGCAAGATTAAAACAACAATAATCGAATAAGCTATCAAAACAATACACAACCATACAAAATAAACACTAGCGACCTCTACACACATACATAAAACAGTATTCACGATTATTAAATCGTATAAAAAATAAAAATGTCAACATATAAAAGATAATCCAATTGAGTTGCTTTAAATACAACTATATCATTAAATACCGAATAAAAACCGGCCAAGTGCGAGTTGGACTCGCGCACGAAGGGTTCCGTACCACATTATCCATATTGTTGTTATAGCGGCAACAGAAATACATCATCTGTGAACATTTCATCTGTCTAACTATCACGGTTCACAAGATTACAGCCTGGTGACAGACAGACAGTGAAGTCTTAGTAATAGGGTCCCGTTTTACCCTTTGGGCACGGAACCCTAAAAAAGATGACAGCATCGAATACAACACAAAATTACAATAACCATACAAAAAGGAACATACCTCAAAATTAACAGGTAACACTAAAAGTAAGTCAGACTATAAAATAATTAGTAACGATAAACTTAATAATTAAAGTGGGAATAGACTTTATAATGTGCTCTTCAATATAGTGCTCAAAGCAATATTGATCACAAATTGTCATGTTGTTTGCAAGATATGCCTTTTATAATGGGTATGAAGAATTATAATAATCTATTGCATACTATATGAATATAAAGTATTTGACTTTATTAATATATCAAATAAGATATTTTTACTTGTTATATAAAATAAATTTGGCAATACATTTTAATGTTATAAAATATTTCATCAAATACCCTAGCAACAAATTAAAAAAAAATGTCAGTAAAAGGTATAATTTTGTTGTTTTTTTCTTTTGCCCATATTTGTTAAATATTATGGCAAAATAATAATGTCTTAATATGGTATAAAAATAGTATAAAAAGTGAAATCTTTAGGCCTTATCAGTGAGAAAACATATCATAAAACAATAATACTTATAGATAAAAAAATCATAAAAATAGTATGGAATGATTAATTTTGTTCCCAATGGGACATTATTTTTGACAATAAATAACTGGTGAAATAAAAAAAAACCTTTACCATTGAGTAAATGGTACAAAAGGCCTGCAAAACCTGCACTTTACAGCCATTTTATTAATATTATAATATAAGAATGAGTGCATCATCATATTTTATATGTGAAATTAAGCACAAGTAAAAAATAAAACTATTGAAAATCGTTAAGACAAATTCGAAAAACGAAAATCTCTCTATACACGCAATACTTATGAAATAGCTAATTTTAAAATGATCAAATTGTAAAGTAATGGAGAATTTTGCTTGAGCATTGTCCTAATTAAAAAAGTCAGTTATTTATAAAATTTGTAGAATTAGCCTTCTGTACCAAATACCAAAAGCATTCTATGATTTTAATTGTATGTATATAATATTATACATAATGTATTACGCCATTCATCAGCAAACCAACACAGAAGCATTAGGCGGGTAAAGGTACATATACTTCTCCAACAGAGAAGTGGTCTTTACCCAGACAAAAGTGTCGACGCATTCAGATATTACAATATAAAAGGAGGTAAATTAAAGAAAAATGACGTAGAATAAACAACCCACGATTCACTAACACATAACACACAGAACAGTACTATCACAAATATTTAAAGGATACAATATTATATTAATTTTGGTCATCGCTAAATATTAACTTATATGCAAAAAATGTCTTTTTATATAAGCAAAATAATAATACTTAAATAATTTTGTCCAGCAAAATCATAGTTTGCAAAATTTCTCACATGTAGGGTACAGGCAAAGAACAGGGAGTCTTAATGAATTTTAAAAATTATGAGAAAAAAGCAATTTAAAGTTTAGAAGTTATAATATTTTTAGTGAGATCGAACTCAGCAGTGACTTAACTATGTAATGTATGACAATCTTGATTCTTTACCTGTATGTCATGGACATTCCCAGTTCTTCTCTCTTTGAGCACATATAAAAAGGTATTTTAGTGACATCCGTTAAATATTTTTACATTCCATGTTCTTATCCTGAACCCATCTCATTGGGTTTGCCATTGAATACAATTTTTAAATGTTTTTTTTTTAACAATATGTAAAAACATTAATAATAAACAGTCATACATTGTCATTATTATTTTTGCATACAATCTAATATTATGCCCTTATAATGTATATAAATGTCAAAACGAAATTTTAAAATTAAACACTTCAAGGAATAGTGAGAATACATAAATTATCAAATAAAATTACACTACACGTAAAGGCATTTATTGCATTTTATCTCTCACGTGATCTCACATCACTCTAGCTATTATTGGCAAAGCTTTGACAGATATTATTTAAACTTATATAATAATGTTACGTGTATATATTTTTGAAGAAAAGTTATTATTATAATCTATTGAATTCAATTCTTTAGGTTTGTGGCTTCTAGGAGTGGCCTTTGGGCACAATTTACTTCGCCAATGTCGCGTAGAATGGAGATATTAGAATTATATATAAAATGACCGGTAAAAAAGGAGGAAATAAAAACACTAATCTGATTACATGTAGAAACAGAGCGATTCGTTGTAAAATCAGGACCAATACCCAACACGGAGTTAGTAAAAAAATCCAATTTACAGATATTATAACTATAATCACAATACACTTTAACAATCACGCAAGAATGTCACAAAGACGTATCCGAGTTCGAAGTCCTTATTTCAATTTATTGAATCATTATAATCTAAACAGATAAATAAAATTGAAGTGTCTGTTTGTAATGTCAAAATAACAGCTTTTTACTAAATGCATATGGAATTATATACGGTATTTATAAGAAAAACACAATTTAAAATTTTTAGTCTGTCTGTCTGTTTGTTCCGACTAATCTGCTAAACGGCCGGGCAGATTTTGACGGACATTCACTAGCAGGTACTTGATGTTATAAGAAGTAACTTAGACTACTTTTATTTTAGAAAACGGATTATTTTCCGTTTAAAAAACTTAAAACGTACCTAGGGACGCACGTAAGTCGCTAGTAATGTATATATCTATCAAAACTTTACCAATAATATCAAACCATAGCTGCTCTCAGATAGAAGCTTTGACTTTGAAGTGGGCTTGTTGAACAAGCGAATGAAAGCTTTTATTTCTATCGGGTACTACTATAATATTTCAATACTTAGTTCACATAATGAAATTCAAAAAAGCTTAGCTGAAAGTTCATAGGCCATTGGTGAACATTTTTAATTTAACTATTCGGTTATTAAGTATGAAAATTATGGCCAATTTACTTACATGATATTGTGAATTTATTTTATAACTTATATTGATGCTTATATGATGTTAATTTTTTAATTTTTCTATTATTATCATCAACTTATTTGTTTTGCTTGACGTTGTTCGCATTAAGTTTAGATTGGCGATGTCATACAGAGATTTAAAGTAGCATTGCATTAGATCAATTAGAAAGATTTTATATTAAAAATTTGTGCTAATAAAAATTGTAATTTCAAATTTACCATTTTATGTAATTATAACTTTTATTAATTGTATCAATAACGATACCATACAATTTGAAATACCTATTTACTTAGCAATTTAATAAGAACTATGTCATTCCAAACTGAACACGAACTCGGCGTTTCATCAAACAGTTTCTATATACTAAAACGAGATATATATTTTTTAATTAATAAGGTACACCGATTTCAAAATCACTTTGAAAGTAATTCCACCTGTAATGGTAGAAATTTCTCTTCAATTTTATATCAGACCAGCCCGAGATTATACTCTATTCATTAAAAAAAGTTTCATGAAAATCGGTTCACAACAATATGCGAAGACATCGCGTAACATACAAAAAAAATGTACTCAAATTGAGTACCTACGTCCTCCATTTTACGAAGTCGGTTAAAACTAGCGAAGGCGAGGCAGTACGGCAGCAAGTATAATCGATATCAAGAGGCCCTACGAGATCGTACGATCAGTGTCTGTGAAGGACGCTTTTGTATTCAATTTATACACATAGAGAAATGGACGATATTATGTACGGGACAACATATTTGTAAATTAATAGATAAACCGTCCCGTAATAGTGTGGCTAGTTGTCTTTATTTACTCTAATCGGTCTATCGATTGGCGAATTCATTCCTTATGGAGTGATTTTAGTAGTTCACTACGGTTAAGCAAACACATTTGCGGAAAGCATTTGATGGGTGAACACACAGTACTCTTTATCAAAAGTATAATCAGATCTGTCAGAGACTAGTCTATCCACTCCTCTATGTGTACAGTTGAAGACATTTTACATTGAATATAAAGTAAATGGTTTAGGTGTCCCATAAACGAGCCTGTAGGGATACATCGGATACAAAGATTTAGGCGTCCCGCAGACGAGCCTGGAGCGTCGCAATGTGCTGCTCGAGCTCCCGCACGCGCTGCTGGCTGTTCTGTAGCTGGCGTTTCACTATGCGCAACTCTTCGCCTTGCCGGTTAAACGCCAATCGTAACTGGAAATTTATAATTATACTTTTAAAACTCTAAACAAAACCTTTTTTAAAGTGTAATAAAACCACCAAAACAATTAATATTTTTTTACAATAGATTGTGAGTTCTAGTATTTACCTCCTAGTTTAGTCTGCTCGATGGTAAACAATTATGTAGTATCTGATTTATAAGGAAAAAAAAGACAAAACATATATAATTACTCCTTTTTAGAAGTCGATTATTAAAAATAGTAAGATGCGATTACAAATTATATATACATTTTTATTTGAATATTAATATGTAATGTGTATGTGTCCATACACAAATGTACCTCGAAAATATCTGATTATGTATCTATTCTAAATGAAAACCTCCGTTTAGTATTTTTTTATATTTTAGTGCCGTATAGTAGTCAGTAATTTTTAAGTTTTTATTTTTCCATTTTCAGTGTAGACGTAATAAATAGGTAATTTGTAAGAAGAAAGTTTTTTAATAACATATTCGATTAAACAATTTATTTAAAAATAATAATTATTGTTGATTTTTATTTAAAACCTCTTGACTGATTTCGATAAAATTTATATGGGACCACCTTTTTTTACCGTGGGAAATGCATTTACGCACGAGGTGTGGGACTCACCGGCAAAGCCAGTAGTATGCAATGAAACCCAACAAAGCCTTCCCCCGTCTTAATGGGGCGTCGCAGGATCGCTTACGCATTCAACTACGACGCCCCGACGGCAGGTCTACCGAAATAGACCACCACAACCATGGGATTGCTCCAAGGTCCACTCTGCTATCAAAGAAGTACCAGGAGCAACCCGCAAGGTACACCGCCGTCCGAAGAGGGCCACCTCCCACCGAAGTGGACCACCTCCCTGTGCGTTTCTTGGCTTCGCGCCCGGCTGTATTGCCGGGCACTACTGAGCCCCCCACCACGACAAGGTGAACGCACGTCGGGTATATGTGACCACCTGGGAAGACCCCTTTGAAACAAAAAAATATATTTCCAGATCGGTTCAGGCGTCTTCGAGTAACCGGTGAACATACATAAAAAATACCGACGAATTCAGAACCTCCTCCTTTTTGGAAGTCGGTTAATGAACTTACACATTTGGCAAAAAAATTACTAAAAAACGTGTACTTTGGGGATAGATTTGATATTTTATTCGAAAACAAAAACATAAAATAGAAAACAGATACTATGTGTACAAAGGATGATTTATTTCTTTAAGGGATCTCTCTCTACCAGAAACCCTTGAGTGTGAGAAAAAATAAAAATTATAATGAGTTACGGTGTAGGTACAAACTACATCAGTTATTATATATATACATACATATTAAGTATGTTTGGGCAAACAATAAAAACTAATATACACAAGTGTATAACACACCTCGTGCTCAGTGTTGAAGACATCGCCCTGATTGATCTGCTTGTACAGCGGCACGGGTTCCGCTTCGCCCGTTTGCTTCCCGAACATGCGCTGCAGTTGATGGAACTTTGTGTTTTGATTTGCACTTGTCTTTTGACATTTGTCTGTTACCTGTTATTGAAAAAAAAAAGATTTAAATATCGTCTAAAAACTTAAAAAAGAAAAACGACTTCCAGGCACTAAAATGTAAAAAAATAACTAAATGGTGGTTATCATTTAGAATAGGTAGATACCTAATGAGATATTTTCGAAGTCGGTGCCAGTCGATTCAAAACACATCTAATATATTCATATCTTAAAATATTGTCGGCTGGCATCGACTTCGAAAATATCTGATTAGGTAGATACCTAATCAGATATTTTCGATAGGATAGATATCCTAAATAAAAAGTGCCATTTAGTTATATGTATTTTACATTTTAGTGCCTGGAATTCGGCTTTTATTATTTTTTTAAGTTTTGTATTTTTCTATTTTTAAAAGGCAATGAGTGCATTTACACCTTCAGTAAGGGTCACGTTCTGGTCGAATCGCACTCCAGCAACGTTTCTTGTATATAAAAAAACTACCAGACCGATATCGGACCGAGAACGAACTGTTATCGGCACTATAGTGTGGTTCGGCCCTAAGAGTCACGTTCCGGTCGAATAACACTCCAGCAACGTTTCTTTTATATAAAAAAAAACTTTGCCAGACCGAGAACGGCCTGTGATCGGCACTATAGTGTGGCGCACACCTGTGGCTGGTCGCCGTGGTCGGGCTGCCAGGTGGCGAGCGGGCGGTAGTCGGGCGTGGTCTCGCGCGACAGGAACGCGAACTTCTTGCGGTTGTTGGCGTCCTGCGGCTGCAGCGCCGGCGCGTCCTTGTTCGAGCGCGGCTTGTGCGTCGATATCGTCACGCCTGGGGACATTATAAAACGTTACTAGTTTATTATTATTCACTTTTATTGACGTGATGACGTCTTATAAATCGATGGACGCCGGCTGCACGCACGAAAGTGTCACGCTCCGCCCGAGCCGAGCGTGCGAGCGAGAGTGCGGGACAAGCGATAGAGAGGCACGATCGGCCTAAATTGTTAATAGCACGTTGTTACTTGTAATTAATCTGTATAATTTAAGTAAAAAAATATTTGAATTAACCAGTGCAAATAAATGTTAATTTATCGAAACAATTGTAATTTTCAATTAACTCCTTCTTTGTATGATACAAAATAATCATAATTCAGTGACAATAATTCAATTCGATTCATAAAAGTATGTAATTTTTCATCAATGTTTTCTTATGTTGTTATCACGTAAAATTATCGTCCGTAAACCGATTTTACAGTAAACCTTTTTTTTAATCTGTTTTATTGCCTTCTTGTATTGTATAATAAATTAAGTATTAATTAATTAATACTTAATTTATTATACAATACAAGAATTAAATTAAATTAAGTATTAATTTATTATTTTCTACGTTTACTTTATTTTGTGTGAACAACGTAGGCGTTTTTAGGTAGTAGCTAGCAGAGCTAGTGTTATTGCTTGTGTTTATTATGTACTTACTTAATACAATTGTGACTTTCAAATATATAAATAAAATATAAAGTGATTAAATATGCATTAGAGAAATAATTTATAACAAAACTCTAATAAACTTTTTCTTCACAAAGTTAGAATTACAAGTAGCAACCCATCCGCCCACACTTTCTTTTATCTTTGTGCACAAATCTAGATATACATATTTCTCTTACCTCTTAAACTATACTGAATTAAATACAATTAATGTCAAATTTAATCTCTATTATATACTCATGACAGTCAAATAATTAATAAAAAAATATTTACTTCAATTAATAATGACCAAAGTCAGTAAAAAAACTGAAAAACTCCTTAAAAAATAAAAAAGCTAGATTTATTGTATGATAATTTCACTTTTAACCTGCTACAGTATTATTTATTACACATATAAATAATACAAAGTGACATACAGGGGGCCCTCACTCACCCGTCTTCATGCTGATGAGCAGCGGCGGCGCGTTGAGGCCGCTGAGCCAGTCGCGCGCGGACAGCGCCGGCTGCGGCGCCGCCGTGTCCGGGTACAGGTCCTCCTGGTACAACAAACAATCAATCAAAATAAATAAAGTAATACATATGTTGGGAAATTAACACACAGCACCATCTATAATTATATTACCAATATAGATCCATGGTAAGCCAAGAGGCTTATGTTATGGATACTAGATAGTTGATACACTACAGTACAGTATTGTAATCAATTCTTTTTTTAACGTCCCACTGCTGGGTACGGACCTCCGTTTCATACGAGGGGGATAATAGATAATATTTAGAGGCCATAGTCCACCACGCTGGCCAAGTGCGAGTTGGCGGACTTTTTGATGTTTTTCAAAAAAATTCTAGTTTTTTTCAAACTAGCAGGTTTCCCCGCTACGTCGTTTCACACCGTAAGACAAGTGCTAATCATGTTGGAAACGATTCGGACATTAAATATCAGAGGCGCGAGACCCGAGATATGAACCTGCTTCACGCGGTTTCCACTGCGCCACCACTGCTTTACACAGTAGTATACACTATATAACAAACCCATTATATATATGAACAACAAACATACCTGAAAGCAGTCGGACTTGCGCGGCACGATCATGGAGATGGGCTCGCAGAGGCCGCGCGACGTGTGCAGCTTGTAGAAGCGGAACACCTCGCATATACTGGTGTTGACGCCACGCTTCGGCATGAAACCGAGCCCGCGCTAGGTACGAGATATCTATATATTAATACGTCGAGCAAAAACTTTATACCCCTTTTTACGATAATCGCGCGGACGGAGGAGTATGAATTTTCCCAGACTTATAGTTTATATAGAGAAGGAGTGCAGAATGCTAATTTTTTTTAATTATGCATGAAAAATACATTAAATCAATAAAAAAATATTACACACACTACCATGTATTTGAGACACACACTTTTGTTTATTGTTAAAGTCTGTGGTCGAATTGAGATTTTATAAGCTACCTACATAATTTTGGAAAGAACCTCAATATCGATCAAAGTTAATGAATTATGGTTGATTTTCAACCACGAGGCAATCACTAGTATTTATAATATTAATAACTAGCGACTCACCCTCGATTCGCGTAGGTTCGTCCCTCGGTTCATTCCCATACACTTTCATCCCCATTTTCACCCCCTTAAGGGATGATTTCAGGAATAAAAACTACCTATATCCTTTCCCGAGTCTCAAACTAACTTCTTATTAAGTTTTCATCTAAATCGGTCCAGTAGTTTCGGAACTTATTCGGTACAAACAAGTAAACAAAAAATCTTTCCTCTTTATAATTGTATTAGTAAAGATTTAAAAAATATTATATTATATTAATATTAATTTTATTTTAAACTAACGTCAATTGCGTGTGTCATACTAAATACTCTAACTCTTGCCTATTAGTCGTAGTACACACAGCATACAAGCAATAACCAAAACATGAAAGAGAAAATGTGTAAGCGAGACAGATATACATCATATACCGTATTGGTATAACAGTCTACTAACATAAAATTTTTCGTCAAATAGCCCCAATTTCTACTACAATTTTTTTAGGACAACTCAATACTTGCAGCTATACATCATAAAAAGGGGTTGGTTTTGATTGGCCAGAAGTAAATTTTCATATTAATGACACTATAATATTATCCTATGACGTAAGTTTAATTTTACTGGCTAAAAATTATAAATGCTAAAATAACATTAAAATTAAACAATAGATACGATACACATAATAATCCTTTAAATATATCGACTGTTAAATGTGTCGGGTGATAGCTAATTAAACGAAATAGGTGGTTTTATTTGGATAACTTGAAATAATACATTCTAATAAATTTGCCAAAAAACAAACCCAAGTGTATGATCATTGTTCATTAGTATAAATAACCTTTCTTATTTAAAAAAAAATGTACCTGAGGATTTCCAGACAGGAATTGATTGAGGAAATGCACGTAAGGCGGCTCGTCCACTACTTCATAGTAGCGAATGTTTCCGTCTCCCTTGCCGGCGAGGTATACCTGGATATAATTTAGATTAGTTAATTTTTGTTCATGCTTGTGTGTTATCTTTATGTAATATTTGTTTTACTTTCTTAGATTTACGCGAATGTGTGACATTTTAAATAGAACTATCTTTTCGGATTACATCGCGAATTCATCGCGGAAACATTGAGAACCAAAAATCAAACTAAATCCACGAGATAATCTGAAAAGATAATTTTATTTAATATGTGTTTTATTTAGTTATTTATATGGTAACGGTTTTCGCTATATAAACAATATAAGCTAACAAAAAATCCTTTGATACTAGAATGATATGAGTGCCCAAAGAAAGAGACAGTGTGTGCGAGCGAGACAGATATAGATGTCGTACCATATTGGTATCAGAGTCGTAGTAGGGGAAGACGACGCCGGAGGAGCTGTCGATGGTCTCGCAGACGAGCGGGCGCTCGAGGCGGTGCGGCTCCCACAGCGCGTACTGGCGGTCGCTGTGGCGCGAGAAGCCCGTGGTCAGCACCTTGCCCGAGCTGCCCAGGAACGTGCACTTAGACGCCTTGGTGCCGCCGTGGCACGTGCCTTCCTGTAATGTGTATATTCAAGTATACTGCCTCGGTGTAGTGGCTAGCATGTATGGCTGCACATCCGGAGATCCTGGGTTCGAGTCCCGGGGTCGGGCCAAATTTAGTTACTGAGTCTTTCTGCATTGAGTTAGAAAGTAGGCGGTGTTTCAGCCCCGCGTCTCGGCTGTCACGTGTCGCGTGGGTCCCGCACCGACACTCTCGCCGCGAGTGCCTCGTGTCGCGTGTGCACGTTGTGTCTGCGCTCTCTCACACGCGCTCAATGAGATTGGCCGCCGTGGACGAAATCGGTCGGGAGGACTTGCTAATTATATTTAATGATTCTTATAGGATTTCGTATAAAAAGGATTGAGTCGGGCCCTGCTCGACGATAACCACAGATACACACTCATACGCGTAAGCATATACACATAACATAAAAATAATAGTAATATAAGCCTGAAATTTGAATAAGTTAAGGAATTCAATGCAGGATCCCAATTTGCACTTAGTTTTTTCTTCGACCATCTTCTTTAGTGAATCTAATGATCATATTACGGTGTTTTCTTCTTTTCACTGACTTCACTTAAGGGCTCTTAAACTCAATTAAAAAACCATGTACATATAAAATTGCACAAATATATCAAATCTATCACATACTAGATATAATTATTAACAAATTTATTCAGCCTTTTTTTACGTCCGTTGGAGGCCTCACCGTTAGGCAAGGGCCTCCGAGGCCTGCGAGGAAAATAAGGCCATAGTCCACCACACTGGCGGGTTGGCGGACTTCACATGTCTGTCGAAAACTTGCTAGGTTCTCTCAGACATGCAGGTTTCCTCACGATGTTTTCCTTCACCGTAAAACAAGTGGTAGGTAACCATGTTGGAAATGATTCGCACATGACTATATCAGTGATGCGGGACTCGGAATTTGAATCCTCTTCAATCGGTTTCCCAAACGAGCGAGTCACCACTGCCTTTAGCAAAAATTAACAAAACAAGACGGTTGAAAAAATTGCTAACCTATCACTAATCTATATAAATATTATAAATGTGAAAGTTTGTATGTGAGGATGTTAGTAACTCTTTCACACCAGAACGGCTGAACGGATCTGAATGAAATTTGGCACACAGATAGATTATAGTCTGGAGTAACACATATGCTACTTTTTATCCCGGAAAAATATACGGTTCCCGAGGGACACACTTATTTTTGTTTTCCTAGCCGCTAGTAAAGAATAATCCAAACCGACTTACAGAAAGCACGATGCCCCTCCTCGGCTCTATGACTCTCAGTTTCTTATCCTTGCAGGTGGTTGCGAGGAGGGAGCCATCTCTGTTGAAGGACATGCAGTAGATGACGTCACTGTGACAGTCTATTATCTTCACCGCTTCGCCTTTGCCGACGTCCCATACGAATATCTGATGTAAGAGTAAATAATAGTATTTTAATGCTTTTGTTTTTACCCTACTATGTTCACTCACCTATAGTAATCTCATAATCACTAAGTAAATCTAAGAAAGTATCACCTATAGTAATATTATAAAGAGGTAAAGTTTGTGAGGTTGTAGAGGGTAATCTCTGGATTTACTGAACCGATTTAGATGAAATTTGGAAAGAAGATAGTTTGAGACCCTGGGAAGGACATGGGATACTTTTAGCCCGGAAATCATCCCTTAAGGGCGTGAAAATGGGGAAAGTTTGTATGGGGAAGCAAGCTAAGGACGAACCCGAGCAAAGCCAGAGTAAATCGCTAGTAGATACTAAACGGCTTAAACAATTTTAAATACTCGTACGTCGTCAGACTATATGAATATTATTAAAAATTTAAACAGCGGATTTCAATCGCAAATATGTGTTTTGAAAAAAATATCACCAGTGCAATATTTACTGATACATGAGAATAATAGTTTAAAGGATATAATAAATCTACCTTAATAAGAAATTCAATATTACTTATTTAGTAAAAATATAAAAATATACTTACTAAATAATCAAAGCCAGCACTGAGGAGTATATTCTCAGCGGTAGGATGCCACTCGATGTACGCGACTCTTCTCTTATGGCCGTGCAGTTCAACCAGCCAGTCCGTCAGGTGCATGGACAGACCACCATCGGGTATATGCCATAGTTTTACCTATATCATATGTTAACATTTTAACAAAATACTACTTAAGTTTTAATGATTATTTAATTATTTATTTAACATATGAAATCAATATACAGCGTGAGATACATAAGTGGTAGCCCACATATACATAGTACACACTTAGGTGTGTGTACCATGGGTCGTGTGGTCTGCTTCGGCAGAACTGCCGCCGCGTCGGGGTGTTATAGTTTAGTACGTCAGCGATTCTGCGACGCTCCATTAAAATGTGGCAGGTTCTTGTGGTTTTTAGTGTATAGTACTGGATTTTCTAGCCTGTGAGTCCAACATAACCCACCAGTATGTATGCGAGTGGTATGCGGAAATGAATTTCTCAATGTTAAAAAAAGGTTTCAATAGCCAAAAGACAAATACGGAATATTTACAATGTCGTCAAGTTCGTCAGTTTGTATGTCACAGTTACATTACTCGGAGATTATTGGTATTACTCGTATAGATACTATTGATTCGCACAGTTTTCATGAGGCGATCTTTACTTTTAAATATCTCCGAAAGTGACACTTTAGTATACTAAATCATATTACTGATGATTTTTTTAAATGTATTCTAACCATTTATATACCAGTTTCATTTAGCTCCGCATATTAATAAAAAAAAATATATGTATGTTTGTCTCCTTCAATGTTTATTTTGTCAATCATGTAAATATAAATTAATTTAATAATCGTAATTGAAAACGTAATTTTCCTTTTAATATCATGTTTAATTTTTTATGTTCTAAAAGGCAACCAAAACAAAACTTGCAAAGTTTTTAGACTGAAATCTAAATAACTCTAAAAGTTGTCTAAACTTTATAGTTTTCAATAATTTTCTTTTCTACGCTACTACTACTTTTTCTTTATAATGGGCTGATTCCAATTTAGGAAGTCATTTAATAGAGAAGTGAAAATATAATATTGTTTAAAGATATTATTATTATCGTCAAATTAAATATTGAGGAATAAGAATTAAAAGAATTTTAACATTGAAATAATCTGTGCATTGAACACAATTTATATTTATTATAAATACAATGTGGATTTTATGCCAAATTCTAATGACAACACGATTGATAATGGGCTTTAATTGTATAGTTGAATAATTTTTAATGGAGAAAGATAATTATATAGGTACTCAATGATATATTACACAAGATGTATGTAATTTATATTTAATTTAATTTTTGTTTGATTTTCAAGATTTTTTCATCCTATTTGCCTACGTCAAGCGGGATATATTTTTATTGCTAAATTGACGGGTGAGTATAAAGGGGCATTTAGAGAACGGAAAATGATATTAGGTCATGCATTCCAGTTGAAAGATCTTATCTAACATTTAAAGTAATTATTATTATTCAATTATAATATTTTTTTTACAAATAGCCTGTATTAAGTACAATATAGTATAGTATGGCAATTTTTATTTCAAAGTATCGAGCAGTTCCATAGTAACAGCTTGTACTCTGCTTAGCTATGTTGATCGAAACAATTTTATATATATGTACATTCTATGAAGATATAAATTTAAAAATTCAAATAAAATTAATTAATACCCTTACATCTTTGAAATTATTAAGACAATTAGCCCAAAATAAAAGAAACCTTGATTATGTATCCTACAATCAAGACTTGCAAGGTTTCTGAAGAAAGTAGAGTAAATTTTGTATGAATCTCCTTTGTGACATTATAAATATTTAATTTCTTTATTAAATTCAATGCAAATTATCGCAAACTAAATCTGTAACGTGAACGCTATAGATACGTAAATTGGTAAGTAAATCCATGAACAATAAAATGAGTGTAGTAGTATTTAGTCTAATTCTTCTTAGAATTAGCCATATTTTTAAAACGGTCGCAAATATTCTTAAAATGTTTATAAAAAATATAATTGAAAAAATGAGTGCGCGTAACCTTTACGCGAGGTTGAAGAAAAACTTCTTTGGCGCTGCAGCTGTGATAGATACCGCAATTAAATTAAAACAAATCAAAAGGTAAATATTAAGTATCATATTTTTTATAAAATTATTAATAATAAATATATATTGTTATAAATCATAATTATTATAAAAATATACATATAATATTTTTTTTTAACTGTTAATAATTTTGACTCTCACATCCACGAACACTCATTTTTCCCTCAGTCACGCGGCCACGCCTTAAGAAGTTTGACTTCAAAAATATTTAGAAGTAGTTAGAAATACGTTGTTAGATAGTTGTTATATTATTAAATTTACGCAAATGTTTGAATAAAACTATCTTTTCGGATTTTTTCGCGGATTTATTATAATTTTTGGTGCATGACATTTCGAATGTTTAACAGCAATCGTAGTCACGGGGAGGCTGGGCAGTCTCTGACAAACCCGAAAAGATAGTTTTATTTTAAGTTGTTAGAAAATTAAATATGACATAAATACAATATAAAATACGAACTTTACATTTCGACAATCATTGCTAAAGGCAATTAATCCGCAATTAACCTTAATTTTTGTGATGGCACTTCATATATTAAGAGCGATATATACGTGATAGTGATATATGTTAATGTTTACACCAATTAAGAGAGAATAAAGCTAACTAGCATTGCCCGCGGCTCCGCCCGCGTTCAGATGACCAAAAAGCAAATTCTTAGGTTTTACATATTAGTAAACCCTTACATTGCAGGTTTTGTATTTTTTCTCAGAAATGAGACATTTTCCCGTGGTAAAAAGAATCCTTTATGTTGATCCGGATAACCAGCTATCACTATACCAAATTTCATCAAAATCTCTCCAGTGGTTTTTCTGTGATGCTGTAACAGCCAGACAGACAGGCAGACAGACAGAAAAAAAATTCTAAAAACTATAGATTCGGCCTCTGTATCGGTAATAATGTTTATTTAAAGAAGATTTTCTAAAAAATATTTAATGTACAGATTCAGCTTAGTTACAATTTTATGATATGTACTATAGATATTTATTTAAACATTTCAAACTCGCCTAATATAGGGATTTAAATATAATCTACCGTACTTTAAAAGTAAAATATTATTGAGTGTTGATAAATTACAAGTATGTATGTTTTGCATTTTATTTAGCATACTTGTTAGATTTGATAACGTAATGTTATGTTCATATAATTCTAATTAGTCAACTAAAATAAGGACTGGTCTGGATATATACCTATGTGTTCTGGCGTGTATTTCTATTTTTATTTAATTTAATTTTAATAATATTTATACATTTTTTTTCGCAGCTGTTTTATTTTTGAGCCGATCTCAATAAGTATTTTTTTTTCAATTATATAATCTTTGTTAATTATTTCCATCGATAGACAATAATGATAGATAATAATGAGTGATTAATTATATACAAAAAAAAATATTTATTGTTTCCAATAGAACAGTTTCGATTTATCGTTATTTCTAGGACGAACGAATATGGAATTCAATAGAACAGGTCATGCACAGCAAAATAACAGTTCGAATGGAACCGTAAAAACGTTGTAATGGCCGCTATTTTTCACGGAATAATTGATATCAGAATGAAAAATTGTAAATAAATTACCGTGCAGTCATCCGAACATGATGCTATGATGTTATCGTTGAACGGATTCCACTTTATGTCGAGCACAGGGCCTTTGTGACCGGTGACACGACTCGCGTTGAAATCTAGCCGGCCAGTCTGAAATTAACCAAATTACAAGTATTATTAAATAATAATGACATAAAAAATAATGTATAAAAGGGTAACATAAATAGAAAAAAATCTTGTGTGTGTACTTATGTACGCACGTAAGAAGTTATGTGTCGCTTTTTGGCTCTCGGTGTGCGCACGCATCGTAAAAATTTTACTCTCATAATTTTTTCCCGCGGCTCTACTAGCATGCTAAGCGGGGCGAATACCTACATCGGTCTAACTTCTATAATCTCTACAAATCTCATCAAAATCTGTTCATCAGTTTAAGCTAGATGAGATAACAATCAACCTAAACGTTTTATATCTTAGTTATCACTACCGTTTTACGAAGTGTTTTTAGTCTGGTCATAATACATAGGAAATAAAATTCATAGCCTTGGAGTTTTGGAAGCAGACATCACCAGTCACCACAGCATCAAACAGTCGGCATATTAATGTTTAATTTTGCTATGTTCAAGATTTATCGTGCTTAGAATACTGTTTGAAAATTGTATTACATTTTCGAGTATGGAATATGTAATTGACGAGGTAAATAGAAGCGTATATTATTTGGCATGTTTTAATTTCGAGCAAAGGCACCCGACGATATGGAGACGAATGTGCTCCAACAATTAAGTCAAGTAATTACGCCGCAATTCGACACACGTAGTGTGCCTTGGGAGTTGGGACGAACTGTGGCAATGTAACCGTTATTACATTTCAGTTTCATTTTCTCACGCGAGCTTCTACGTTAAGAAACGAATATAATATATTTACCATTTGATTTAGGTATTTGGGGCTTTCGATACACGATCACTGAGATCACTTATACTATGTCGCATTAAATAAGTTGCACAGATAAAGTTAGATTCTCTATCTATCTACTCTCTATTCATATTAAGATATACGTTTATTAACGGATTTGCTAAAAATTATACCAAAAAGGTATAGACATAACGAGCATCTTTTACGTTATAGCTTATTGGAAACGTGCTCACTTGTAAAACCAAACGAAGTGAGTTTAAACTTTAAACCCATGTATTGGCCTTCTGAGATTTTCATACTTCAATCATTTTTTTAAAATGATCAAGTACCACTTGCTTATGACGAATATGATAATAACGAGAGAAAATTTGCACGTCTGAATGAACCTAACTAGTTTTCGGACATGTGAAGTCTACGCATTAAGCCCAGAAGTGGAATATTAAAAGGATCTCAATTTTCATTATTATTCTGCACATTTAGTAATGCGTATTTTGCACCGACATTTCTAAGCACCCTTCGCGCCAAAGTCATTCTTTAAAGAAATTCAAAGCAATACCTATAGCTCGGGAACTCTCGTCTTAATGATATCAGTGTGAAAACGTTTAAACGCAATGGAGTGCATAATACATTTAAGTGCGCATTCGCAAGGTGTCGCATTATACCACTGTGATAATATAATGCATTTGCGGTTATGGATGGCTAATACAGCATGACAATAGGTAATAAAATATTTCATTTTGATTCATTGAATATTATCGTTGCGTGTTTCGATATCAATTAAGGACATAGGATAATAGGTCGATTCAATTTAAACATGTATTCAGCCCTTTTTTTTAACGTCCCACTGCTGGGCACGGGCTTCGGATCAGGCTATAGTCCGACACGCTGACCAAGTGCTGGTTGGCGGACTCCACATGTCTTTCGAAAACTTGCTAGGTTCTCTCAGACATGCATTTCCTCACGATGTTTTCCTTCACCGTAAGGTAAGTGGTAATCATGCTAGAAATGATTCGCACACGAAAATATCAGAGGTGCGAGACCCGGGATTTGAACCCGCTTCACTCGGTTCCCCAAGCGAGCGCGTTACCACTGGGCTATCACTTTTTAAATAAGTAAATACGTAGAAATTGAAGTAAAAGTTATGGTGCTCCTAACCTAATATATTAGTATATAAATGCTAAAGATAATAATCAGACTAGGCATCTTATGGCATAGAAAATGTAAGTCACTACGGGAATGTGCTAAGCAGTTTACAATGTTATCTATATTATACAATCGTCTACTGTGTACCTCAAATTAAAAACCTATTTTTCAATCTTTTATTTTTAAATTATTGCATTCTTACACATTTATTATACTTCTGTTAGTAACGAGCTACTCTTTTGCCTACCCTTGCAACCATATATTTATATCCATACCTGCTATAATATTATAAAATTGTGAAAGTGTGTTTGTTTGCCTTTCTTTCAAGTCGAAACAGAGTGCTGGATTGGCGTGATTTTATGTGTGGAAAAAGTTGGAAGGCTGGAGAGTGACATAGGGTACTTACCGCGGGATATTATCTTATTCCCACGGGAAAATTCTTTATAATACAATCCAAAAATATATTTATGATCAGAATTACTTGAAACTTAGTATTAATGCTCTTCAATATAATTAAATAAATACGTCTTTTAGCATTTTTCGAAATTCATTCATCCCATGAGGGGGTAAAGGAAAGTATGAAAGTTTGTATGAAACCTACCTTTTTAGTTTTTTTATTGTTTTAGCGCGAGCGAAGCCGCGGGTTCAGCTAGTTCTTTATAAGTACATCATAATATATACGTATTTTATGTACACAAAATGTGTATACATTTGAATATCTACTGGTGACACCTACTGTTCTTGACTTAATCTCAAATTATCGTTACAGTTTGTATCGTATCGATCGTAGATTGACGGCGGTGTGCCAGAAACCTTTACAGGCGTGTGTGTGTACAACTAACAAAATTTTACGATTAGTACGCACCTAACGTTAAACTTTACCTGATAGACAAACATGCTTTTTATATATATTTTTATACATATGTAAATACCTACATTGATTATTGAATAGTTTCACTATTCCGACAAGTTTAATGTATATTCAAAAAGGCCATTTGGTGGTTAGTGTATCCTCATACATAACTAGGTATCCTTGCGGCTTTAACATCGTCAGATTAAATTTAAATATTTGTATGTGTATGTACAATATGTTGTAAGCACATAGTTATATACCTAAATATACTGTGTTTCAGGCTTCACATGGTCTACTGAGGTAATGAATTAATATAGGTGTTACTTAAATAGGTTAGCGTTTTTCATTATTTCTAAACTTACGTGATCCAAAGGCAATACAAGAAAAGCACCGCCGCCCGCAACTTCTGTGACAATCGCAACGAATTTAGGGTTCACCGCGCAAAAGTTGGAATCGTGCGCATTTCTGGTGATTTTTATGTTGTCGTAACATCTTTCTCTCTTGAAGGGTACTCCATATACATGGCGGAATTTGGAGCTTCTCACGCCACGAAACCATACCTAAAACACCGCGAATCAAAACTTTAAAAATCATAACAAAGTTAAGAAAAAAAAACTTACATAATAATACTTTCTTAGATTTACGTGAATGTTTGACAATTTAAATTAAAGTATCTTTTCGGATTTTGTACAGACTAGTCTCTCCCGTGACCATGTTTGCTATATCGCATTCGAAACGGTGCGATGGGGACAGAAATTTTAAATAAAACCGTGCCAAAATCCGAAAATATAGTTCCATTTAAAATCTATACTAATATCATAAAAAGGTAGTTTGTGAGGTTGTAGGGGGGTAATCTCAGGATCTACTGAACCGAGTTGAAATTTGATAAGATAGTTTGAGACCCTGGAAAGTATACAGAATACTTTTTATCCCGGAAATCATCTCAATAAAATTATTGTTTAAAATAATAATTAATTCTCCCTCCAGGTTCTGTATAGTAAATTAAAGAACGTCTTTGAACTTTCAAACTCGCACAGTTTAGTAATTAGCATTCGACTTGCTGATTACAGGCAAGTTTTAAGAAATTACGCTAGAATTTAGATTACAATAAATTTCTTTGTTTGAAGTCGTATTATAAGGACTTAATAAATATAGCTTTAGCCATAATGTAGCGTCCTATTACCAATAAAAGCTGGTACTAAAAGAATCGGATCAATAGTTCCGGCAATCATCCTATTCCAACGTTCTACATCCACCAAACGTTATCTCTTTACACGATTATATATAAACTAGCAGTCCCCGCGGCTCCGCCCGCGTTCAGATGACCAAAAACCAAATTCTTAGGTTTTACATAGTAGTATACTCTTACATTGCAGTTTTTGTATTTCTTCTCAGAAATGAGATATTTCCCCGCGGTAAAAAGTATCCTATATGTTGACCCGGATAAACAGCTACCATCATACCAAATTTCATCAAAATCCCTCCAGTGGTTTTTCCGTGATGCGGTAACAGACATACAGACCGACAGACAGACAAAAATTCTAAAAACTATAGATTCGGCCTCTGTATCGATAATAATGTCTAATTCAATTAGATTTTTCAAAAAATATTTAATGTACAGATTAGACTCTGTTAGAATTTTATTATATTACCTATATATAAGTAATGTAAAGCTGTTGCTTTCTTGTACAGTTTTTATCTATATTTTATGCATTCGTCAATTTGGAGTTTAACTTGAACATCAACTAAATCATGCCAATTCTTAATTGTTTTCATACATGCGAGATCGGTGCTTTTACCCTCATCCAGTACATATCATTGTATCATGCTTTTACAGTGTTATAGGACATCTATTTTTATATTTATACGAGCATTGCCCGCAGCTCCGCCCGCGTTCAGATGAACAAAAACCAAATTCTTAGGTTTTACATATTAGTGTACTCTTAGATTACACTTTTCGTATTTTTTCTCAGAAATGAGACATTTTTCCGCGGTAAAAAGTATCCCATATGTTGACCCGGATAACCAGCTACCACCACACCAAATTTTATCACAGACAGACAGACAAAAATTCTAAAAACTATAGATTCGGCCTCTGTATCGATAATAATGACTATTTCAATAAGATTTTCGAAAAAATATTTAATGTACAGATTCGCCTCGGTTAGAATTTTATTATATGTATAGATTTTACCATGGAAATAATAATTTTCTTAAAATATTTTTAATATTATTAGTAATTCACGTGCGCAAGAGCGTAAATACGACGATATGTAGGTGCGATAATTGACACTATTGTTTATATATTTTTCACATTGAAAACATTTCTCTTGAGAACATTATAGAAAATACAAAAGGCGCGAACTTAAAGTAAAAGTACCTAATTAATAACGCGTTCTCATTATAGGGTTCATGATACTTACCTACAATAAATAAAACACTCAACGCTTTTGATGGCAAAAAATATATGAAACAGTACCTACAAAATGCATTTGTGGTAACAATACAACAAGCATAATATATAAAATTGCTAATCTAAGAAAAAAAGCCTTTACCTGTGAATTAGTCATGTCGTCTCCACTAAATGGGTGCTATCAAAGCATGCACTACATAAGATTCACACTCCAAAATTATGAAAACTTGTGCATTTTACAAAAAATAATCAATTTAAATAAGTAATTGAAAATTCAGGCGCCCACAACAACATCACGAGCTGCGATATAAACACTGAAAATTTCAAAGAAACAAATGATAGCCACACGAAATGATACAAACGAAATTGTGCAAATTAAAGTAACAATACGTAATAGACACTACATCACGAACGAGCAGTGAGCGCTTAGGCAATTTAAAACTATTTTATTATACGTGATTATGACAGTAGAGACGCGTGCCTAGAGCGGCAAGCGAAAAAAAAGTGAAAAGATTTTACGATATACTGATGCTGAGGCTAGAGAGAAATTATATTCATTGTATGGTGTGTGATAGACGGAATATCAATTAGTTGCAATTTAACTAATACATTCTATTACATAATTTAATTATGCAATGCTATAAACATTACTCACTTTCTGAGTGGTATATAAACGTTTAAAAGGCTGATCGTATTTTATGTAAAATTTTAATTATATTTTTGTTGAAAGTCATTCAAAATAATTTATATTGAGAAATCTGTTATGGAATTGTTTAATAGTTACATAAGTAATTATATTTTATATGTAGTTTGGAGTTACACTACAAAATGTTATTCATAAAATCGAAAACAATATGTAAATTTGTATGGCACAGTAAACACAACCAGTTAGTTTGGAAGTAGGTATTTTCCTGCTATTTCAGTAAAATGAAAGTATTTTTTTTTAATTTGTATGGCATAAAATAAATTTTAAACATCTTTTATTTTAACTGTAGGGAATAATTATATAGCATATTAAATACTCGTTACTGATTTATAAAAAACTAGTCCAAAGTATTGCCCAGTATCATATGCAATTCTTCTTAATATAATGTGTACTATATAATCTGAAATGTATAGGTGACCGAATAATTTTCTCATTATTAAGTAAATGATAAGTAAAGTTTTAAATTCAAATAATTTTTTTTGTATTATGTAAATTATGAACAATTTAATAATGCATTCTGTGCCAACAGACTATATGAATAATAAATAAGCACTACTGGTTACAAACAGTAATCTCAACAATTAAACCACTACAATTACATAATATAATATGTAGCAATCTTACAACATAGACCAAGCAAACTAATTCTACACATTCTTGGTGCAAGAAATGTGAAATATCATTATTGATAAATGAAAAAATGTCACATGAAATTGAATATTTATTACACTAATAATTGAACACAGGTGTACTCAATTTAAATAAACTGATAAAATTCTTTGAATCATATTTTTTTAACACAAACTAAAATTAATGTAGGAAAATTATGCCATGCCTGTCTCGGTAGACATTCATTTAAAGCCTAATGGTGTAAGAATGATAAATTGGGTTACCTGGTATATTGTCATTCTTAATTCAAAAACTTTTATTTAAATTTTTGCTTTTGTTACATATATATTTAAATACAAAAAATTATATTTCTGTTTATTATAGTAGTACAGTACATTTAAATAAATGTGTATTAAATTATACCTAATATATACCTTATGTAATTAAATAAATAGTATGAAACACTTTAGTATAGAAAAATTAAGTTTTTTTTTAAATATGCAGTTTTAACATTTATATTTTTATTATATAACAATTTAAGTTATCAGGAAATGTGAGCTTTTAAACTTGGTCCTTAATTAATATATTTGATAGCATGAATTTGTTGCTTTTCTAACTTTAAATAAGAACAAAAATAAATAAATCTAAAAAAAGTAGCGATTATTAGAAAAAAAATTACATTATTTAATTTTATCTTACCTTAGCGGCAGGTTTATTACACGCCCTTACGTCTACAAGTGCTGTACTTTTTGCAGGACTTTTTTCAGTTAGGTTTACATCTAAACAATTAATTTCTCTTATCAAATCATCCTTTACCGGAGGCATATCACTAAGCAAAATAATTTAGTTCTGAGGAAAGTACTCAAGTTTTCGGTATTTTTTTTATTTATATTTCAAAATAATTCTTTCTAAAGTTAGTCTATCAGGAATTTATTAACTTTCAATGTAAAATAACATCACTGCTTTAATCACAATTCGCACGATCCGCATCACGAACAAAAAATCGAATTAAAATAGTTTGACACACAGATAAGAAACGTTAAATACACCACAGATATTAAAGAATGAAGTCATCTTAATAGTGTTGTATATATGTTGCAATTTATAAGCTAAAATAAACTATCAACTATAAATATAAGGACAATTTTTGAAATTAAAAATGTATTATGAAAAGCGGAATAGCACTTAATAAAATATAAGTAGGTATTATTTATTTTAAAAATAAAATCAGTTCAATTAAATGTCAATAGATGGTGTTATATGTTTAATTAATTGTTATTTTTTTGTTTTCAATTAAAAGAAAAAAAAAGATTTGAAAAAGGTATTTTTTCATAAATTAAATTTTCCTAATTTTAATAACTACCTATAAAACCTATTAAATAATGAGTTTATGCTACGTAATCATAGATGGCGCTGTTTACGTTTTATGAGTTGTTTACCACGATAAAAAATGTTAAAGCACTAAATTTTGTTTTAATAAATGCACAATAATTTTTGTTATATTGAATCACTTCAAATAATAATAATTAAATATAAAATAATTAACGTCAAGTCACGCGCTGCTGTACATCTCATTCCACAGATCTCATTCTCACCATCGCGTTCGACAATCGGCGCCACATGCACTATCGAGTTTTCTATCTAGTATCTATCTATACATATAATAAAATTGTAACTAAGCCGAATCTGTACATTATATATTTTTTGGAAAATCTTATTGGAATAAACATTATTATCGATACTGAGGCCGAAGCTATAGTTTTTAGATTTTTTGTCTGTCTGTCAGTCTGTTACCGCATCACAGAAAAACCACTGGAAAGATTTTGTTGAAATTTGGTATGGTGATAGCTGGTTATCCGGGTCAACATATAGGTTACTTTTTACTGCGGGAAGGTATCTCATTTTTGAGAAATCTAAACGCTAAAACGTAAGTACGGACGAACCGCGCGGAGCGAGGGTGAATCGCTACAGAATAAATTTCTTTAATATGAAAAAAATCATTTGGTGGGTTACTTAGACATACAGAATAATCCATCTGGTTTTACCGCCAACAGACTTGCTTTCTGTAAAAAGTTCGAATACGAGCGAATGGGTTAATCGACTCACAATTACATATTATTATACTTGTCTGCATGTCTGATGTCTATCACCACTTTAAAAGTTTAATTATATTATTACATATGTATGCTTAAAAAGCCAAAGAAATTTATTTTTATAAAAACTAATTACGTAAGATGATTTGAAATTGTAATATTAGAAACAAAATCATTGTGATTATATTACAAAGTCATTTATTATGGAAGTGTAATAAGAGAAGTATGTAACTATGAATTATTTGTTTGCGTCTAATGAACCAGAAATTTAAAAGACTTTTCTCTTTAAACGACAATGTTTTCAGTCTGATAAAGCGAATTTCAGATGAAATAATGTTCGTAATTCCTTACAAAGCTGAAATTGATGTTTGAAATGCTATTAGTCAGCTTGGTCTTTAGCTATTAGGTACTGCATTTACTGTATCATTAGCTGTCTAATTATATCTGAATTAACTGACAAAGTACATCATAAATCATAATACATGTAAATTTCATACTAGCGATTTACCTCGCTTCGCTCAGATGCCGTAGGTGGGATCCGCCGCCTTGAGGGAAGCTAGTTGCCAAGCTGGTCTAAGTTGCGCACCCGTTCAGATGAAACTTATAAGATGCAAATCATTAAGTTTATAACTAATGAGTGATGAGTAATAATACAAGGTGCGTCCCTAGGTAGGCTAGGTTCGTTTTAATTTTTTTGAGTGAAATCCTAATTCCTTTTCTAAAATAAAGTAGCTTAAATTACTTCTTATAACATCAGATATCTGCCAGTGAAAGTCCCGTCAAAATCAGTCCATCCGTTTTAAAGATTAGCCGGAACAAGTAGACTATACAAAGTTTAAAAAAAAGTGTTTTTCTTATAAATACCGTATAGGTATAATATCTTAAGCATTAAGTAAAAAGCTATTATTTAGACAGTACAGACACTTCAAATTTTATTTATCTGTATAGATTTAGCAATCGTCATCAATTTACTTTTTGATTTCATATCGTTGCTTTGCATTAGTTTTCAATAGAGTCGTTATTACAAAATATATGGAAAATATCATGATTCAAAATTCAGAATATATAAAAAAAATGTTATTTTCAAAAAAGTGATAATTAATCATCATCTTTAGTTCAAATCCGTAAAATAGCTTTATTAACAAAACTCTTAGTGACAGGTGTCTCGTATTAGATTGCCATCCCGAGTGTGAGAGTAGGTGCAAGATTCACCTGTGTTTGTGCATACATTTGCTCATGCCGGCGGCCAATCCTAATGAAGGCAAACCTGTTGCTATTTCATTATATCTCTTGATTCTTGGTCGTGGAGTAAATTACTATTCATTTAGATTATTTTCCTTTACTTATATTCAGTCAGGAGAATCTCTATAGAATTACTGATTTTATTTTTGTTGATGGACTTAAAATATAAGGTCTGATATAGAAACATTGATAAACTTGCATATAAGTATAATATTTGTGTAATGTGTTGTCTAAGTTTGTCCAAGATGTTATTGGCTTATCTAAAGGTTCTATAAATAAAGCAGTAACTTGGCGAAAACTGTACATGAAATATTTAAAAAAAACTATGACTGTAACGTATTATGTACACAATATAGACCCCAAAGCAATAGTTATTAAAAAAATGTCTGTTTATTTGTTTGTATACGTGTGTCTGCTTGTGTGTGCGCGTTTCACGCAAAAAGTAATTAACCGATTTCAACTTAATTTGGTGAAGTGATAACTTCACCAAATTTACTATATAACTATATAACTTGGGTCAAAATTTAGGATACCTTTTACTTCAGGAAAATCTTACTTCCCGACGGGAAAACAAAATAACTGGTTTAATCGAGTGCTCCTTAGAAACCGTCCGCTGGCTAAACCATAAGACATACTAGCAACTCACCCTCGTTTTGCTCGGGTTCGCTTCTAGACAGACAAAAACAAATCTATCCTACGGGAACCATACATTTGTTCGGGATTAAATCTACCCTATTCGTTATTCTGATGTATGTTTCATTAAAATGGATCAGTAGTTTTTGTATACTAAGCTGTATAACTTACTATAGTTTTTAAACTATCGACCACGAGAACTCTTTAATTTTCCGGGATGAAATGTATCTAAAATGTTCACCGGTGATACCACCAAGCAAATTTTCATTTAAATCGGTCCAACAGTTTTGAAGATTAGCCCGTACAAACAGACAGAGAAATAAAAAAAATTAAAAAATCTGGATTTGTTCTATTCTCTTCTTACATCCCCCTGACTAGGTTTTTAGCATTTTTTTCTACGTACAGACATTCGACCTCTACCGTCTGTTTGTTTTTCTGCCCATCACTTTTTTACGCTTAATCCGCAGAACCGATTTAGATGAAATTTGGTATGGAAATATTTTGAGATTTTGTGACTTAGGATAATTTTCATCCCGGAAAACAAATCATATATGTACACATATAAGGGGGACCCGAGCAAAGCGAGGGTGAGTCGCTAGTTCATTATAAGACCAAGAATAAAACTTATATAATTATTATTTTCACTATCTTCTTTATATTATGCAAGTTTCACCAGTAAGTTGATATCTTTTTCAAAATAACTGCGTAAATATGGAAAATATGTTTTGCACATTTTAAATTTGCACGCAGTTCGATCTCGACCCATAACTTGTTCAAAACGGAATTTCGTACGTATATCAAGTCTAGTTTAATAGTCGGCACTCGTTGACCTGTTGGCTGTTAGTTGCTCGCGATATCTTGTAAGGTGTACTTGTGTCGATTATTTTAATAATAAAATCTAAGAATTATGGTTAAAATACATAATTTTGGCGCAGGACCTGCAAAGTTACCTGAAGAAGTAAGTTTCATGAAATATTTAGTGTAAAATTAAGCTACAATTTCGAATGTTATAAGGCTTATTAATGTCAATGAATTATTCCTTTAGGTGTACGATGTACTTCAGAAAGAGTTTACCGACTTCGACGGGACGGGAATTAGCTTATTGGAAACAAGTCACCGAACTGCACCTTATCTAAAATTGAATAAAGATGTTCAAGATGTAGTGAGAAAATTATTGTAAGTAATATTAATATTATATTTTTTTATAGTATCTGAATATTTTTATGTTTTAAAAATTGTTTTATTCATAGAAAAGGTTTAGTTATTATTGATATACATCGATCGTAAAAATTGTAATCGATGTTTATGTACACTAATTATATTAAAGAGAACCTATTTTAAAATTATTGTGTATTTAAGAAATACAAAATATTTGTTCGTGCTAGGTATTTCCCAGGCATATGCTTCTTAACATAATAATGATGTTTTTTTATATTTGTGATGTCATAAAGTTATAGTTGTTCGGTTACAGTCACGAAATACATAGTTGGGTAGATTTTATACTGGAAATAAAAATATTTATTATAAAAAGTATTACCTACTAACAACACTGGGTAGAAACGAACTTATATTATATATTTAAAGTATATAGTAATGTCAGAAATATTTCAATTTTATACGAAGGTAAAGGTATCAGGACTGTCTTTATTATATTAGAGGCCCTGTGCACATTAGGATCATGGGGCCCCTGTGTAGATAAGGGGCCATTCATAAATTACGTCACACGTTAATTTCAAGAAGTGTGACATTTTATTTTATTCAGTTCTGTGCTTAAAATTGCAAAATGTTGTCACACCAATTAGTGAATAATGTGACGTCCACCAGGGGTGGTTCCCGCAAATGTGACCTGTGACAAGGAGGGGGGATGGTTCAAAAAATCATTAAATTCGAGTGACGTAATTTATGGATGCCTTTAAGAATAGATAAGCTAAAATACTAAAATTATTCCACATTTTTTTTACAATCACATTAAATGAATAGATAATTGCAATATGGTTTTTAAAAAGTAGTACTTAACTACGAGCATTCACAGGTACTATACACAGGTACTACTGTAAAGGTACTTTCTAGTTTTCACATAAGCAAAATCGTCTATCAGTTGTTGAAAGTTTGTCTTTGAGCACATCACATTCTTTGGACATTAGCGACAAACTGGTCAATCTTTCTTGAAGCATTGTACTTCTTAGTTTATTCACCCTATTTAAAAACTCCAATAGGATCTATGTGGCTTTTGTCGCTTTTGATGGGGTTGTATTGGATTTTTTCAACAGGGCATTTTCATATATTATTGTAAAATAGGAGAATTCCCATGGATAGAGGCTTACTCTTTGTGTTAGTGTGAATAAACAAATTGTAGTCCTAAAAAAATATCTCATTTTTTTATCACGAATACAAAATAAATGCATTTAGTTTACCCTGGATAAGTTTTTCGATTAAATTAGTATGCTAATTAGAATTATCTAAGAGTAATTAATTATATTAAATGTCGTTGCCGTTTTCGTCTTTCGTTCCATTTTACGAGTAGGTTAATATTTTGATAGTTGGCAAATTAAATTTCTTTCAATGTTCAATTGAACATAATTAAATTATATAAAAATCAATAAAAAAATACGAATATTTCATAAATATGTGACTAGAAACTAAACCGCACTGCAATTCAAAAATTATTCTTTCATTGAATCGGGTACTAACAATGCGTAGAGTGGAACGGCGGCTGCAAACCATATATTTTTTGAGGGCAAATTCAATACCGTCAAATTCAATCGCGGGGCCTTGGGCATTTGCCCAGAGTGCCCAAAAGCTAAAAACTATTAACATATCATATTTCATGTATCCACCTTAAAAAAATACTCATATAATTTAGGTTTTACTCTTTTTCACCAGTGCCCAACGACAATAAATGTGTTATTCGCGATAAGTTAAAAGGGTGTTATATATTATATTATCTAACTTATCAATATGTGATAAAATTAAAAGAAGTTATCATATTAATTCGGAAGTTTTCTTGTTATCTAGGGACTAGGAAGACAAAACTATAGGAATGGAATATGTGATAAGATAATACATTTAGAATTAAAAAATCTAATCAAATGGTGTGATGTTTATTAGAAAGTTATGTATTATGTAAACTTTAATTAATTTTATTAACCGACTCCCAAAAAGGACGAGGTTCTTAATTCGTCGGAATCTTTTTTTATGTATGCTCACCGATTACTCGAAGACGCCTGAACCGATTTAGATTTTTTTTTTGTTTCAAATGGTATACTTCCCTTGTGGTCCCATATAAATTTTATCAAAATCGGTCGAGCGGTATTTTAGAAAATCAACAATAAATATTCGTTTAAAATAAATTGTTTAATCGAATATTCGTATGTATGTTATTAAAAAACTTTCTTCTTAAAAATTACCTGCTTATTACGTCTACACTAAAAATGGAAAAATAAAAACTTAAAAAAAAATCGACTTCCAGGCACTAAAATGTAAAAAATAACTAAACGGAGGTTTTCATTTAGAATAGATACCTAATCAGATATAGTCGAAGTCGGTGCTAGCCTACAATATTTTAAGATATGAATATCTAATAGGTAAATGTGTATTTTACGTATCGAAATATTTTGCTTTCCCTCGGCTTTTGGTAAAGTTTTTATTTTTTTCCTAATCGTCTCTAATTAGGTAAGTACCTACTGTATCTTCGTGTCGAAACGGTGATATTTTTTTAGATTCTAGGCATATCTTTTTTATTTATCATCATTTTTGTAATGCCACTTTCCTTTTTTAGGCTTTACAATCCGAATTTTCAAAATTAACAGATTTAAAGGGAACTCCGAACCAAGGTAGCTTATCATGCGATCGTAGTCGCGTGAAGAAATATATATATATATATATATATATATATATATATATATATATATATGTACTTACATCATTATTTCATTTTAACGTCATAAATAACAAAACAGTATCATGTTCGTTTATTAATATTGAGTGCCAATTTATATTCCAATCGTCTCACGAAATGAATCGTCCTGTTATTATCATATTGCCCCTCATTTTATCAGTCATTGCATGATGTTTTGTTTATCAAGACAATGACCGAGTCGAATATTATTATTCTTATTATAGGTACACCACTGGTATCTAATAAATTCAATTCGTCTTTCACTTTTTGATAAATAAGTAATAAAATAAACATATTTATAACATATAAACATTTCATGCAATATAAAATTTTATACTTGGTCAAATTCTTTGGTGCTTTGCATAACCGCGGGGTCTCATCGGGAAGAAACAATGATCTCCTTTGTATAAAATTTTTAGGCTAAAAATGTTATAGGGTACAAAGTATCCTTTTTGTCCGTGCATTTTTTGTAACAAAATATAATTGTATATTCTATGCTGGCTGAAGGATTAAGTAATTATTATAATTGCAGGCAGAACACTATCATTATTTATTATAGGTCTTGATAACAAACATTTTGTACATATCTTTAGAATCTAATAGACAATATAAGTTTGATGTTCATTGTTATGAAAAATTTATTATATTCAACCGACTTCAAAAAGGAGGAGGTTCTCAATTCGACTGTATGTTTTTTTTTTTTTTTTATGTTTGTTACCTCAGAACTCCGTCATTTATTAACCGATTTGGACAATTTTTGTTTTGTTTGAAAGGGTATACTTCCAGATTGGTCTCATTTAAATTTCAAAAAAAAATACTACCCCTAAGGGTGGAAAAACAACTAATGTTGAATTTAACCTACTTCTTATTGTCATATTGACTTGAAACTTTGCAAGTATTTCTATTTTCGTTGATAGTACAGTGGTTCGGTGTTGTTGACCTGATCTGATGGCAAGGCCAGAAGGTGGATAGGTGGTACTCTTCAACGGCTAATAGTAGATACTTTGAGTTTGGGCTTATTTTGTTTGATTTGATAAGCCTAACACGTTAGAATCCTTACTTTGCTACTACTGTCTACACTAAAAAGGGAAAAATAAAAAATTTGGCTAAGTAATTAAAGCCTACCTATTAAATACATACCTAATCAAATATTTTCGAAATCGGTGCCAGCCCATACAAAGCAAAGCACACCGACTTCGAAAATATTTGATTAGGTATGTATAGTAAATGAAAACTACCAATCAGTTATTTTTTACTTTTTAGTGCTTTTGTTTGAAGTCGGTTTTTATTTTTTTGTTAAAATTTTTTATTAACTCAGTATATTGCAATCTAAAAATATTATTATATAATATAGGTAGCGGCAACTTTTGGCAAGTCTTGTTACTAACAGTAACCTAAGTGTTATTTCCGGATATAATCTATTTTTATTTTTTGTACACTAAATTCATCCAAAACTGTCCAGCTGTTTTAGCGTGAAGGATTAACATATAACATACACAAACATTTATACCTACAAACTATCGCATATTATATAATATTAGTGAGATAATAGCAAGTTATAATAGATTAGAATTCGATATAAAACCTCTATTTTTTTTGTACACCGTACGAAATCCGACCGATATCTTCGTAAGATTACTGTTTTATTCTTTAGGTACCTAATTATATTATTCAAATAATTAAGTTAAAGTAATATTATATTCTATTTTTAGAGACGTTCCAAGTAACTATAAAATTCTCTTCTTATCGGGAGGAGGCCAGGGCCAGTTCTCAGCAGTACCACTTAACTTGATCTCCAGGACTGGAACAGCTGATTACGTAGTTACGGGTAAATACATAATTATGTAATACTTATACAAAAACAATATTTGCAAGTCTTCTACAGTAATCGTTAAGGAAGGAAAAGTGTCTATTCAGCTTACGAAATTAGCCTCGCGTTCTAACAACGAGTAACTGTTTCGATTATACTATAATGTTTATATTTAGGTATAAATAAACAATTTAGTACAAAACTTTATAATAAAAAATCAATCGACAAAGAAAATATAAAAATCGATCATTAGAATAAACCGATTAATTAAGAAAAATGGCATCAAACGAACACACTGACTGTAAAATAGTTACGAATAACAAAATAGTTAAAAGATTGGTGATAGTTAAAAAGGGTTATATTTTATTTTCTGCTTTTCAATTTCTTTATTATCGGTTCATTACATGGTAAAAAATATAATTTTCGTGGCTAAATTCTACTTCATAATAACTTGGCATTATGGGAGAACTCTTTTTTACAAATTGAAATTTGATCATTTCACCCTATCCAGTACAAAGCTTACTTTTCCTCGTCGGTTACAACGTACATACTAATAATTTTGTACCATGAACTGATTTTTCTTAAAGGACCTACATCATATTTACAAAATAATCTGCCATAATCTGTTTAAGACAAAGCGCGGCGTTGGATTACCATTAATAAGTGTAGGAATGCTGAGGATAATTGAACAACGAATTGAGGGAGTCTGAAGAAATAAATGATCACATATAAAATATTTTAATTGATTATAAGAATCTATTTTAAAGAGATTATTCGCTCTTATTTCTAGGTGCCTGGTCAGCAAAAGCAGCAAAGGAAGCGAAAAAATATGGCAAAGTAAATTTAGTATTACCCCCTACAGACCGTTATGTTGACATCCCAGATCAATCAACCTGGAACCTTGATCCTAACGCTTCATATGTACACATTTGTACCAATGAAACTATTCATGGTGAGACACAAGATTAAAAAACAACACTTGAAATAACCGTTTTTGTCATATTTATGTGTGTATTCAGCCCTTTTTATCGTCCCACTGCTGGGCACGGGCCTCCCTTCAGTACGAGGGGAATCAGGCCATAGTCCACCACGCTGGCCAAGTGCGGGTTGGCGGACTTCACATGTCTTTAGAAAACTTGCTAAGTTCTATCAGACATGCAGGTTTCCTCACGATGTTTTCCTTCACCGTAAGGCAAGTGGTAATCAAGTTAGAAATGATTCGCACATGAAAATATCAGAGGTGCGAGACCCGGGATTTGAACCCGCTTCACTCGGTTTCTCAAGCGAGCGCGTTACCACTGGGCTACCACTACCTATTTATGTGGCCTATTCATAAATTAATGTAATTAATCAATATAGTTAAAGTTAGAGTAATATTCAAATTATTTAAGAAAAATCATTGAATCAAATCAGTCAATCAATTTCAAATAAGGGCGTAGCAATAGAAATAATCGCACTCCAAACAGAGCTTCAAAACATTGATTATAAGGTTTATGTCAAATATTTGCTGAACAGTTTAAAGTTTAATCTGTTGGAAATTTTTGAAAAAGGTCCATCAGAATTTTGTTTATATTTACAATTTTGTTTAATTTTATTATAATGTAAAAAGGAGATAACATTTGTAAAATTTATGTATTTTAATTGAATATTTTGTTTATTTGATACTTGCATTATATTTACTTTTATTTATACCTAAATATTAATTTTAGGAATCGAGTTTGATTTTATACCCGATACAAAAGGAGTTCCTCTGGTCGCAGATATGTCATCCAATTTTATGTCCAAAAAAGTCGATGTTTCTAAGGTAAATATCTAATTATCTATCTAGATATACAATAATAATCTATCTATATATCATAATAGTCTCTCTACATATACTATAAAATTATCTAGCTTACGGTTTAATTAAGGACATTTTTTTAGTAAAGCAAAACTCTTCAAAAGACCCTTATCTTTTTAACCAAGAGCCTTTTTAATTATTTTTTTAGTTTGGCGTTATATATGGTGGAGCACAAAAGAATATTGGTACAGCAGGAGTTGCACTTGTTATTGTAAGAGAAGATCTTCTAAATCAGGCATTACCTGTGTGTCCCTCAATATTGGACTGGACTGTAAATGCTAAGGCTGATTCTATTCTCAACACTCCCCCAATGTTCGCGTAAGTATTATATAGTTCAATGTAAGCTTTTCTTATTTGCAACAATTAGACAGTTATATTGTATGTTATTAGTGATATTGATTACTTACCAATTCGAATGGTTATGTGTGTTCATAATATACCTTTATAACAAAATATCCTTGACTGTTATAACAGGATCCAAGTTATGGGGAGGGTTCTTCAATGGATCGACAGGTTGGGAGGTCTAGATAAAATGGCTGAGCTAGCCGAAAAGAAGTCTTCTTTAGTTTATGATGCCATCGAACAATCAAATGGATTTTATTATGCTCCAGTAGCGAAAAATGTAAGAAGTAAAATGAACATTCCATTCAGAATCGGATCTCAGTCTGGTGATGACGCTTTGGAGAAAGAGTTCTTGAAGGGTGCGGAAGCTCTAAGCCTTATTCAACTCAAAGGACACAGGTAATGATGAAATATTGATTATAAAATTAAGAAAATTTAAATAATACTACAATTATATTTTATCACTGTATTTAATTTTATTAACACGTAATCATATAAAACATATTTTAGGGACGTTGGAGGAATTCGAGCATCGACTTACAATGCAGTTACTGTTGAAGAAGTTGAAACTTTGGTCAAATATATGAAAGAGTTCTATGCTAAGCACGCTAAGTGATCAGTGAATTTACGATAAGAATAAACTATAGTTACGAAAATGAGAACTATTTAAACCAACTATTTTTTTAATATATGTAAATACAGAAAACGTTTATCTTTTTTTTCATCTAGTCCTTTGTATTAAAGTCTTTGTAAAAATATTCAAAAATATGCAAGGGCAAGGGACCCGAATATCGCATATTTCTTGAAAATTAGCTTAAAAATATATTAAACATCATCGTAGTTGAATAAAATTTTGTGTACTTGGCTCTGTATACTATATATATGAAGTTTAAACGAATTAAACATTGGCAGCGTTAAATATTATTTAACTCTGCCAATATCTTATTTTATCATAATTCATTTAGAAATACAGGACCCAAGCAAGGAAGCTCCTAGAATATCAGATTGCCGATAATATCTCAAGATCGGATATCCGATATTAGGTATTCTACGTGACACAGTAAATTAAAAAATCTTAAAAGTGGTTTTGTTTTAAAATTACATCCAAACTAATATAAGAAATAATAGAATAAATGTAATTTCAATATCAGCAGATTCATCCGTTTCAGATACAGTAGATTTTGGCTTATTAATTGATTTTACTTTTTCCACTCCCTTTCCTTTCTTTAATTTGTTTATCTACGTTCACTGTTCTCTTTTTTGTAGGACACTCGCTTCTCTTTGTACTGCTTGCTCAAGTTCATGTTTGTATGGAGGTAAAACTTTTAGCATTCTGGACCGAACTTTTGTCACGTCAGTTTCATGGACTTTAAATATCGGGTGGGATCAAGGTTTACTTTTGAAAGTTCTGGTTTCAATATATCAAAAAAATATGCCACCTTTCTTTAGTAAATCCTCTGGGGTAAAAGGTGGTGGCGCATGTGTGCAGTTTGTGCTTATTTTTTACAGCAAAATATGCCTTTTTCATAGCATCTTCATATCACGTTTTTTTCTGCTTATTGTTAGCCATTTATCTAAACTGAAGCGAATGATTCAAAAAATATGAAAGCAGTCTTAATTTTTCTACAAAACTTCATTTTGGAAGAAATTATATACCTAACTCTTGTAGCAATTCAAATCTTATTCAAGATTTCGTCTTAAAACCACCATGTACTATTTTCCTACAAAAAATCAATTTTTTATTGGTTTTGTCACCATCTTGATAGAGGGTTCAACGAAATCGCTGGAGTGCTTCCATCTAGCTTAGTATTAGTAGTAAGTGGGCTGCTGGATAGATGACGTTATTTTGTATAGGAGATATTAATAGCAAAGGCAACTATCCGATATTCGGGTCTCTACCCTATATACGCAATATCAGTATTGATTAAATTTAAATAATAACTAATCTTGCATATTTAAAAATTTAATCTATTGATATAATTCATTAAAATAAAAATATGAGAGTTGTAAAGTAATATTTGGTTTTGTACGATTCGCCATCGCTTTCCCTTTGACAGAACTACACCTATCGTATTCTTAAGAAGATCTTATTTTATTTGGAACTTGGAAGTCATGGGATATCATGGGTTATAACCACTGAAAACGTACAGCTGTTCCAGAAGAAAGTAGTCAAATATTTTCCTATTTTAAAAGTTTCTTCCCAAATTTACCCTTTTATTTTTCGGGATATAAAGTACAAAAGTTAAATATGTACGAAAAAATACAGCAAGCTTGCATTTTGACTTGAACATACTTTATAACCTATCTATGGCGTCAAGATTAACGGCCGTCTCATTTACATTCTTTGATATGTAGATTACACAAAATCTGTTACAGCCTCTATGAAAGAAATGAAGTGCATTGTTAACCGGTTGAATGGTTTGCTTCAGAGTCGATATTAGAATAAATGTTTCTATAAATAGCAAAAAGGTCATGTTTAAGGTTTAGGTTAAGTAAATTTCGTAACTACAAACGTTTAACGTGGTTGAATGTGAATGTGAAACAGTCGAACGTAATTGCTCGGGGTGCTTTTAATTAGAGAGGATTTGCGTAATCGCACCTTTTTTATTGGGTACTTTCTCATTTTCAATAGCGCTACATATGCTTCAGTTAGGCGGAAGTGTGGCATGGACAGGGAAGGTTTCAGGAAGCGTCCTATAAGCAAAGCGTATTACGGCCGTCAGGTGAATTCAGAAATTTTTAGCCATGATTATTGGAAAAAGACTGTTAATACTAAGAGGACGTCGAGGCTAAATATGTAATATAGTGAGAAGGTGGGAATCGAGTGTCTAGAAACTTTTTTGTCCTATGAACTATAGGATTGACTGCTTTCACTAGTGAGAAAGACATTAAAAAAAGAAAATACAAAAACAAAAAAAGTAGTTTTATTATACTTACTCAATACATTGTGCGATGATTTGCCTTATAATAATAAATTGTCAATAGATTATTTCTGATACAAGTTAGCATTGCTGCATTGATCATAATTTATTTTAAGTAGCTGGGCGGTGTGCTGGGTGCGTTTCTCAGTTGTATAACGCTATTTCTAAATATTTTAGCACTCAGGAACAATTTATCACATGTAAAGCCAGTATTCTAATTAAGTATATTCGTTTAGATTATATTCAACTTCACACTTTTTACTGATAAGGGTAATTCGGTTTATTTAGACTGAAAATACTGCGAGCTTGTAGTGATACAACTTTTTTTACAAAACTGTAATGCAGATGTATTCATAATACAGCATTATGCCTGCAGTATTCCATCATAAATAACATCATATTTTAACTTTAAAGAGGAGTCAGTCTATATCACTTAATAAAAGTTAAGTAGTGCTTTCTACTTAGCGTAGAGTAAGAAAAAATATTTATTTATATAATTATATACTGCCTTCTAAAAATGGCTTCGCACGCAACTAAAATGTGAAAAAGTGGCTCTGGTGTGTAGTCTCCTCAATTTGTGCTCTGGTCCTAAATAATATTATCTGTATAACTAAAGATTTGTTATAAAAAAAAGAGAAACATTTGAGTTTTCATAATTTACTTAATTATATCATACAACACCTGTCTATCTGTCACAAGAAAAAAACGCAATAATAAATAAAAACTTTTTAACAAAAAAATAAAAACCGACTTCAAACAAAAGCACTAAAAAGTAAAAAATAACTGATTGGTAGTTTCCATTTACTATACATACCTAATCAAATATTTTCGAAGTCGGTGTGCTTTGCTTTGTATGGGCTGGCACCGATTTCGAAAATATTTGATTAGGTATGTATTTAATAGGTAAGCTTTAATTACTTAGCCAAAGCACACCGACTTCGAAAATATTTGATTAGGTATGTATAGTAAATGGAAACTACCAATCAGTTATTTTTTACTTTTTAGTGCTTTTGTTTGAAGTCGGTTTTATTTTTTTGTTAAAAAGTTTTTATTTTTCCCTTTTTAGTGTAGACAGTAGTAGCAAAGTAAGGATTCTAACGTGTTAGGCTTGTGAAATCAAACAAAGTAAGCCCAAACTCAAAGTATCTACTATTAGCCGTTGAAGAGTTCCACATATCCACCTTCTGACCTTGCCATCAGATCAGGTCAATAACACCGAACCACTGTACTATCAATGGAAATAGAAATACTTGCAAAGTTTCAAGTCAATATGACAATTAGAAGTAGGTTAAATTCATCATTAGTTGTTTTTCCACCCTTAGGGGTGGTATTTTTTTTTTGAAATTTAAATGGGACCAATCTGGAAGTATACCCTTTCAAACAAAATAAAAATTGTCCAAATCGGTTAATAAATGACGGAGTTCTCAGGTAACAAACATAAAAAAAAAAAAACATACAGTCGAATTGAGAACCTCCTCCTTTTTGAAGTCGGTTGAAAAAGATACTGAGTAGACAATAAATTAATAAGTTCATTGGACACTCATCATATCTTGTATGTACTGGTCATTTAAAGACAAAATGTATGATTAAAAAAATTTCTAATACTAGTTCTAATTCACAACTTTGTCTGCGTTCATATAAATGAAAAGGAAGTATCGTACCTATTCATATTGTGTACGTAGATGTACGTGAAATCTATGTAGTCTTTGTATACGATGGCAGGAACTTCTTGTTTAAGCGATTTAGAAACAATTTTAAAAAGCAGTACATCCGTGTTAATCCTAAATATGTATAATAATTTCTTTGAAAAAACCCAGTCATGATCAAATTCCAGCCCTATAAAATAAAGTAGAATTTTTAAAATTAACGATTTAAAATAGAAGAATGATATATATAACAAATTATGTACGAAAAAGTACTTAGTACCTGTTCAACTTTGCCCCAAAATTAACAGTTATATATTTTATTGAGATAGCTATTTTGTTATACTTAAATATAAACTAGCTTTTGAATGCGATAAGAAATGTTGAAATAGGGTCATGAACTGAAGCTTACATCAGATTAATTATATATGTAGTTGCTAGTAGATTTTGGCACAGACTCGCGCGTTGTATTTCTTATCATTTTATTTACGTACGTACAATATTCCTAATGACGTATTTAAATTTATTTATCATATCGTCACATGTCACATCACTATTTTTATTTTTTGGTCTGCTTAAGTTATATTCATACAGAACAGGCAATTTTTTATACACCTTAACAAGAAGCAAGTATTAAAAGAAAGTGCCTTTTTCTAAACTTTTGCACATATTGTCACATTTCAGTCGCTTATTTAAAGTAGTGTAAGAATAAAAATAAATTTGGCAATTTTTATATTGCATTAACTGAAAAATTTAATTTCAATTTTTTTTGAAATTTTTTTTTCAAAAAAAACTCAATTTTATTTGTGATGCTTATAAGAACAGAATTGTGATAACAGATCTCCCTTGCTGTTGCAAACTAATAATATATTTTTATTATATAACACATAACATGAACTAATGATACATTTTTTTAAATCGCAATCGATGAAACCTTTTACCAGGACAGAATGAAAACCACATGTATACCAGAATTTTTATATGTAAGAATATAGATAAAGATAAAACAGTAAAATCCGTATTATGTAAATAAAAAAATATATTTACAAAAACAATAAACCCGTAACCCGACTGCGTAAAAAGCGAACTAAAAAGAAGAGAACAAATGTACGAATACATAGTATTATGAAATCGGTATATAAAACATGTACCTACATATGTATTTAATAATCTAATGAAATAAGCTTTTATTTATCATATCCAGATGGTGTTAAATTCTGACATCAAGGAATTTATATGACAGCACAAATTCAATGCCTTTACTCATTATAGTATCCAGATTACACGATGTATCTTTTAATTATTTTTTTTAATTAATATTTTATACTTAAAAAAACCGGCTATACTCTCTCTAACGGCGCGGCGACGCCCTCGAGCCTGAACCCCATTTTCAACGCTGGTTTAAAATTATTAGTTATAGGGCTTGAGGAGTCGAGAATTTTTTAGGAAATTTCTTCCTCTTTGAGGATCTTTTTGCTGATTTCTGTCATCATTTACCGTTTACAAGTTATAAACAAAAATCTAAGGCCTTTTTTGTTTCAGTTTTTTGTTTTTACAATTGCAATTTTTATTTGCAGTAAAATAAAAATAAAAAATAAATGCTCAGAATTTTCTGCAGTGTCTCATTAGCCATCGCCTATAATTGCCCATAATTTTCTGACTTGTATAACGATTTTTCGCAGATATTGCACTTTTCGACTAGACTATTTTCCTTTTCTTATGTAAATTAGACAAAATTATAAAGTTAAATAATATCTGTTTTATAGTTTTCTCATTGATTATTTTCCTAAATTCATGACTATCTATAATCAATTTTTAATTTGGCGATGACACTCGGCGGAGATATTCGTTTAAATTGCGTTTTATCCATGGCTAATGAGGCGACATAAAATATTTTTCTTAGTCTAAGTTGAGGTAAAATAAAACTGGTTTTCATCAATATATAATGTTAATTTATTTTTTGTAAAATATTACTGTTATTGTAGTCACTAATGTGGTATTGATTGTGATGGAATATAGACCACGGACGAAATCATGAGTATTTTTTATTTAATTTCAATTGTCATTATTTATTTTCTCAGAGTTTTTATATCGTCATAGTATAAAAAAATATTCCCGTATAAAATTATTATTATAGCTTAATTATTATTACTCACTTTATTATTCATGTAATAAAAACATTCTATACATTCTTTCATAATATACACCCACACACATTTTTACATTTTATTAATATAAAATACAATAAGTACAGTCCCGTTTATAATACAAAACATAAACATTTGACTTGAAATATAACACAACTTTAATGAATCGATCATTGCTTACGCAACGACGGCTGCTTACTCTACAAAGTATGTATATAATAAGAACTACAAACTAACGCCACTTTCTGAGGTCTACCATAAATATACAAAATATTAAAAAGTATATTTACACTAACTTTGTTATAAATGATATATTTAATTATAATGTCGATGAGTTCTAGATAAAATTCAAACGAAGACCTGTATTCCGATATGGCCTTCTCTAAAATATTTGAGCATTTTACTTTCGTTGATTGCAATCTCAGAACATCAACACATTCACTGTTTATTGTCGTGTAATCTTGAATAATATTTCCCTTATAGAATTTTGCTATTATGATTTGTGACATACAGACAATTTATTTGGTGGGGCAGTTTGAAACAGTGAGTGTGTTAATACACATATTTTGTTAAAATTAAAACTAAACGTAAAGCTACCAGAGTACAATGATCTACAACAAGTTATATCTCTCGGACTTTTTGCGTATGGTTTGTTAAAATAATATTTGCATTGCCTTTATGTAGTCACCGAGAGTTGAAACTAATACGTTAGTATTATGTAAATTTGACCAGAATATGAAAAAGGCATTTCTTCATTATTGACCTTCACTGTCACTGTCACTCTTATCTGCAAAGATTGAAAATTAACAATGTTAATATTGCATCATAATATCATCATACAAATTGTTTATATAACTCACAATATAGCAATGCTCAATAGTTTATATACTCATAAATAAAATAATAAATATTCCGTATAACGTAATGATTTTGTTGTTTTCCTCTTGCTATTTGGTATTGTGTGCTGTGGTAACAAAATATACCAATACGGTTACACAGAATCCAATCTATCTTAAAACTGTACATAATCATCTATTTCATTATATTTTTCTAATAAATCGTATTTACAAAGTTTAAGAAATAAAAGTATGAGCTCAGGTAGATGTTAAAAAATTCTAAAATAAACTAAGAAAAGTAAGTAAGTGTATGAAGTTTTTTTTTATTTCTAATATATTTGATATACTCGTAATAAATGCGTCTAATTATAGTGGTGTTCTAGAAAAGAACAAAAGATAAAGGATCTAAACTACAAAAGCACTAACGTCTGTCTAGTGAAAAGCTGCGGTAGAAATGAAAGTGCGCACTAACTAAGTGCCCCAAATACCAACCTTTCTTACCCGGATACGCGTGCCTCTTTAATCGGTCGTATAAATCCTCCTTAGTTCCGTATATGCTGGCATTGGATCGCGCTAAACTGTTCATTTTGCCGTTCATTCCGTTATGTAAGCTTTCTTTCATGTACGTTTCGTTGTAGAAATTAGGCATTTCCCAACCGTCTTCTTCGTCGTCATAGTAATGTGCGTATGTTGAGTGGTGGGAGGGTGCGATGGATTCAGCGTACGGGGTGTGTGCTCCGTAATAGAAGTTCACTTGGGATCCATTTTGATCTATAGCTGGTGTTAATGTCTTCTTTGGCTCTCGTTTTTTCGTTGATCTGTGGTTATTACAAGATAATAATTAATTTCCGACCGTGGACATTTTGATACAACAAGTATACATACTTACGAATTTTTCAATATTGTTAACGTTTTTGTATTTAACTAGCGACTTGTCCCCTTATTTGTCTGTAACCTGTGTTATTCCAGGTACTAGTCTATCTGAGTACTAAATTTAGTATAAATCAGTACAGCCGCTTTAGCCTAAAGGAGTAACAACGTACAACATATACAAACATGCACACGCAGATACAAACTTCCGCAATTATAATAGTAGTTGATTTAGGTAAATAAAATTTGATAAATATAAGAAAACAAACCTCGCGCAAATCATCCATACGAGTAGAACCAGGAATATAATGAATATGACTCCGCCGGCGACACCGCTAGCGATGTACGCGAACTCACTCTTGTCTCTACAATGGCGGCCCGTAAAGGAACCAGCGCAGCGACAAGATGGCTCGCCTCTAGCGTCTTTCACACACTCACCACCGTTGTCGCAGAAGTCCAGACACACATCTGTGTAATAACATAGATATTATATGTATATGAAATATATTTTTAATCTTTGATATATCTTTGATTTGGTCCATTATTTTGTAGATATTATTAAGTATATTTGTAAATTCAGAGTATTTTCGTTTGTTTTTTTTTGTAAAATACACGCTACATATCATTAGTTGGCTTCATGTCATGAGTTTAATTGAGCAATAATCGAGAAGCGATTCAATGCGTTATAGTCGTTTGTATTGAACCTTTTATTAAAACACACACAAACTGCTACTTCTTCTATTGAAAAAAGATATTTCTCACTTTAATGCTTCGATCAACAATACTATTGTTGATCGAAGCTTTAATATGATTAAGTATGAGTTATTTAAAATCAAAATTACAATATTTATCTTTTGTAGTGAATATAAAACCATATAAAGATGCGGCATAAAAAAATAAGTTTTCTTTATTTAACTTTAAAAATAATTATTTCTATTTATATTATATATAATGGTGAACAACAGCAATTCCGTATGAAATTGTTAATGTATGCTCATTTAAATAGAATTTGGCTAGCGAATGCTACCCATTACACTAATTGCTTCCTATATTACAATGATTCTAAATAATGGAGTCAAAATAACTATACATTACAATCAGTAAACATCACATACCAGTGAGCCAACCTCGTTTTTCTCGAGTTCGCCCTAGATAATATTTTAGATTGAAAAGTTATTAAATATTACTGAAATAAAATATAACTTTTGTTACTTTTGGATAATATATCTTTCTATTGGTGAAAGAATTTTTAAAGACGAGTAATAATAAAATAGTTTATCGACCATATGTATATAAATAATTGTTTCTCTTTTGTAATATTAGAATTAATTAATAATTTTAGAAGTCTTCATTTTTCATAATCAATCATATGTTATCCGTAATATATCGTGAAATTTATTCCATCCTTTATACGTTCTCTGTTTTGAAATATACTAAACATCTTACTTTTTTAATTACACAATTCTACGAGACTTTGTATTTTTATACATATGCTATGCACAAAGATAGCACCGCTTGTAATTAACACCAGGCCTTATTCTGGACTTCAAGTAATTGTAAACTAGGTGTACTTATATCGTTTAAAAATTTAAATATACTACGAAGATCGATCGCCAGTCGCATCTAACTTGCTAACTAAGAGGAAATTATACAGGTTATATTCTTACATTGCAAAATTAAGATTTCTATCTAAACGTCAAATCGGAATTGAGAGCTTATAATATAATAGATAGAGCGAGAATAGAGCTAATAATAAAATATAAATAGATAGCTATTCAGCGTACATTTTTAAAATTCTCAACTAAATGTTGACAATTACTTAGATAAACTTACCAACACAAACTTTTCCGGTGCCGTTAAAACCAGGTTTACATTGGCACTTGAATTCACTGGTCTCCGGTAAAAGTAGACAGTAAGCGTTGGTGTCACAGTGCATTTCAGGACCGCTCATTTCACAAGGATTAGTACAGTCGGTTAGAGATGTCTGTAAAAAAAATGCATAATATTAGCTGTGTTGTGGCAAAACAATGTTATATCAATGATGGCGAATGCAATTCTTGATTTTTAAAGATAAACTAATGCTAAAAAGTAAAAAAAAAAAACGATCATAGATTTGTATAAATTGCTATTGTAAAATTTTACTCATCATTCTGTATTAACAGTATGAATATAAATTAAATGTAAATCGATATTTATTTGCACGGAAATTCAAAACTACACGGTAGCATTCGGTCTGATTTCTATACGGTTCATTTGTTGCTAGTTCGCCGTGTACACAATTTCCGATTATGCCAATCAGTATCAATTTCTAGTTATTGTTCATTGTATTAAAATAATTTTAAGTATTTAAATGGCTAACAGATATATTGTGAATGTCTACTTTACATAGACCCACAATCAAGTATAATACAAAGTTTGTTAACAATGTATGTACCTATGTGTAATTTAAAAAAAATGTCACATGATCAAACATTTTTTCTTTATTATTACTAGCAGAACCCGCGGCTTCGCTCGCGCTAAAACTACAAAAAGAACTAAAAACATAGGTTTCATACAAACTTTCATCTCCTATTTTACTCCCTTATGGGATGAATTTCCAAAAATGCTAAAGCACGTATTTATTTAATTATATCGAAGAGCATTAAAACCACGTTTAAAGTAATTCTGATCATAAATATTTTTTTGGGTTGTATTATAACGTGTTTTCCCGTGGGAATGAAATAATCTTGCGCGATGAATAGTAGCCTACGTTACTCTCGAGCCCTCCAACTATCTTCACTCAAAAAATCACGCCCATCAGTCACTCCGTTTCAACGTGGAAGAAGGACAAACAAACAAACCCACTTTCACATTCATAATATTAGTATGGAATTTTCTTCTTTTGTTAAATATAATATATATGTTAATACTTACTGCGCCTGGTCCTCTGGTGCTGGTGTTTATTGGACAGGGAATACATAGCGTTTGTTGCATTTCTGACTGGTATGTTCCTTTCTTACATTGTATGCAAGTATTCAATGTTACGTTCAAGTATAAACCTGGAATATATTTTTGTATACAGAATAAGTATGCGTAAAAATATTTTCGTCTAACGGTCATATTTCTCCTTTAAACTTTGATTTTCTGTATTCAAATATGAAAAATATAGGAGAGAAGTTTTTGATAAAAGTTCTGACTGTGCAATTTCCTTACCATCATTATAAGTTACTGGACGTCTGATGTTGGTCAAAGTTTTATATTTTAAACGATAAAAAATGATACTTCAGCTCAAGAAATTTTTAACAGCTGACATAAAATATTAAGTATCATGGTTTCATTTTTAATACTATATTTTTAAATTTCATTTGAAATAAAGTTTGATACATATTTCTAGAAACAATGAAAAGGCGGGCGGGCGGATGTGTTTGCCAAAAAGAATTATAAAGGTTTATCACAGTTTTCTTTTGGCCTAAGTAAATGTTGGATGAAAACATTTTCTGAATTTAGTTGTCACATGTTATCTAATATATTTTATTACTAGTGGCCCTAGATCCTTTCGCATTTATAATACGAATATTATGGTAACTCTCAGAAATGACATTTTTGGATCTATTTCACAAATAATAACATTCCGGTAGCTTACTTTCACGAAGTATTCATAAATTATATTTCATAACCTTCCGAGATTTCCTTCCGAGAGATTCTTTCTATTGGTGAAAACAATATGAAATCCCGTTCTGCAGTTTCTGAAATTAGCCTGAACAAACACCATCTTATCGCGGTGGGGCATTTTCACATATAATAAATATTGATAATGTTTTAATCATAACTATTAACTTGCTCACCTGGCTTGCAAACCGGTAATGAACACTGATCGGGAGTAGCGGCACCGGCTTGTGGTGTGGTAGTGCCAGGTGGACAAGGCGCACACGCGGCGCCTGCCCCAGTCGCCCGCCATGTGCCCCGAGGACACGGTTCACAGCCACCATCACTGCCCAGTTGTTCACCTACAAAGAAAATTAACACTCATCATCTAAATGTTGTGTTATTATTTATTATATATGCATGCACATTTTTTAACAATATTATTTTTGGTTAAAAATTGTAATTACATTGTAATACAATGTAATCTCTAATAATTGAAGCAATTTGCTCAATAAAATTCTTAAATGGCATGGCTTCCGCGTCACTCTCATTTTATCATTATTAAAGTAAATATGACTTGTAATACAAACTGTATGTATTAGAAACTGTTTACGGATACATGTAATCGTAAGAAGGGCATTTAAATGTTGCCTGCCAAAAGTTTACCTGATGGACAATCGTCTCTACACTCAGCAGCTGACACTGCTTCGGTTGCTCGTGTGGTCTGGCCTCTTGGACAGGCGATGCAAGAGAATGCTCCTTCTCGTGGTTGATATGAGCCATGTCCGCAAGGTCTACAAAGTTCTGCTTCTGCATCGTAGTATTTACCGGCAGCACATCTCTCTAAAATATTTAAAATTAGTTTCTTATTATAAATATTTATTCTCTTCTTTTAATTTTAATAATAGCGTAGTTTAATAATAAAATGTCGTATTTTTATATTTCGTATATCGTAAAATTATTTATTCGTGAAGATAAGATTTCCGTATAGTTAGATAGAGAGATAATGTCATATGAAGTTTCTAGCGTAAAAGTTTATCATTTAAAAAAATAGACAAATTATTTTTCAAGTTATTTATTAACTATTATTATCATTGATGAAAGAAAAATGCCCAGGAGAACGTTTGGGAAAGATCATCTGGGAATTACTACTTAGAAATTAGTTTAACGGGACTCAAAACTAGGGTTGCAAGATATATTTTTAAACAAAAAAATATTAAAAAATTAAATATTTAGTCAATGCAAAATATTACCTTTGCAGTCACCCGCGCTCCTTGCCCCCGTGGCTTGAGTGACGCCAGGCTGTCCGGCAATTGCAGGGCACGGCGTACATTGTAGCTGTCCAGCTTCAGATTGGTAAGTACCGGCGGGACATGGCTTACAGGAATCGCTGGCCGCATCGAGGTAAGTTCCCACCGCACATGATACTGTTGTATATGAACATATGTAGATGTATGATAAGAGTATAACGTGTAAGTACAGTAAAAATAATTGGCAATGATTATTCCAGTAATTTATCTAGTTGAGTTATTTACATACGAATATACTATGAAGACAAAAATAAAGTTGTTATAGGGTTATATCTTTTATATAGGATATTGGGGTGTAATAGAAGGATAATTAATATGTAGTTTTTGAATATTTCTATGTTTCTCTATTTATTATTTAATCATGCATCATTTGACAACATTAATTCCAAAATCAAGTACAGAAGAGAGTTAATGAAATATTATTCGCAAAATATTTAACATCAGTAAAATAAAGCAATAAAAATGTCATAATATTTTCTAACTTACCGCAATCGGGGGCCATAACGACTTGTCCCATAGGACAAGCATAATCTGATTCGAGTTTTAAGCTAGCTGGATCTGGCACTGTATTCGGTAGTATATTTCGTACATCGAATTGTTCGTCTTCGAGGATTAATTTCTCCAGTAATCGTTTTACAGTGGAACGTTCATTGTTACTGTTATGGATTACTGGGTCGCTGTAACATCACAGTACATTTAATATTATGTTTTATAATTTAATAATATTTCAATTTTAAAGCATAATTATAATGTTATATATAATCGAATAGTTTACTAGATATTATGTTATGTTAGGTGCTAAGTGCAATTATGTGTACATTACTTACTTTACAGCCGGGAATGCAATTTCGATGCTGTAGGTATCACCAACTTGACGACCTTCTCTACTGCTTCTTGCCCTAGGTGCGAGATAAAAAACATGCAATAGTGTTTGAAGAGAAACATGCGAAATCCATCAAATATATTACTAAGAAAAAGTGATCTAGTGCTGTAAATAAACTTTGAAAATTCCAAACAGATAATTTTAATTATGGTGAGTTGTTATATTGTTATAGCAGTAGTGTACTAATATACATAGAACTTTGTACTTCTACCAGCTACGCCAACACCTATCTAACACACGGAATACAAAAAACTAGTGGAACGGCACGCTCAAGTCTCTTGGTTATATAATATAATCGTCGCAACTATGCTGCTTGTTTAATAACAGTTTTTACTATACAGCAAAAACTGGATTAATATGCAGAAAATCATTTTATTATTAAATTAAGAATGTCTATATGGATTTTGACATAGAAAGTAATTACAAGGTAAATTGTTATAAGACTAATTTTAAATAAAAATATATTTATTTATTAGTGACCATGATTGCTGTAAAACATTCGAAACGTCGGGAACCAAAAATCAAAATGAATCATCATGAAAAAAAAACCAAAAAGACAGTTTTCTTTATAATGTAAAAAGTAGTTAAAGACAAAAGTGTATTAAAAATATAAGAGCGCTTCCTCTTGCTTTTTTATCCCGTGATCTAACACGTCTTGCTTCCAGTGTTTTTGCTACCGGTACTTTTATAAAATCTTATGTTTTAATAAAATATTATCTTTAATACTTACTCTTCTACTGGAATTATAGCATCTAGGACATAAGTATCTTTTGAAGTTGCTGTAGGAGGGGAGGATACTTGTCTTGTTTGTCGGACATTTGCGCGATGATCACATTTTACATTGATGTCCAATTCTTTACACTCCCGAGTACCTATAATTCAGTTTTTAATTTTTAGTAATGTTCAAAAATCTAATCTAATTTACATTTATATCATAAAGAGGAAAAGTGTATAAGTTTGGACGAAGGAGGTAATCCCCGAAATTTTTCAACTGGGCCAAAAAAATCAAAGAACTTTTTATAGACACCAATTTTGTATAAATTCATGGAAAAATGAAAATAAATCGCGACTTGTGCTTGAGGTTATCTAGTGTATGTTATATTTTGCTAAGTTCTTACCATCAATAGCATATGAGCAGAAGCTCCAATCTCGGTTGAGTTGGTTGATCGCACTGCGTACTTTCTGTCTAAGCACAGCTTGTCCTGCATCGTTACAGAGAACGGAGCTCGGGAACAACATCGATATTTTAAATACACGTTGTGCTGGTGCGGCAGCTAAAATAAAATATATTATATAGAATAAAATACTTGTAATATCTACATCAAGTTAAAATTTATGTAGATTTATTGAACTTACGAGAGCATGCTGGATATACTAGAGGAAGAGATGGATCATTTGTTGGTCGCCAGAATCCTTCAGCTCCACATGTATAGAAAGGCGGTACTTGTTGTGAAAATCTTAAGCCATCGCGACAGGCAATTTCACAAACCTTAAATTGGCCGCCTGCGCCCCAATCGCGACAAGACTGATATCCACCGAGTGGATCCAACAGCGGTGGGCAGAATTCGGCTAAAATCAGTTAAAAATTAAAAAAGAACTAATAATTTTTTTAAAGTAAAATTGAATTAAAGGCACAACTTACACAAGACTGTCACTTTAAATGTACATGTGGCAGCATTTCCAGCGGCGTCATAAGCAATGTAAGCAATATCGTATGCTCCCCAAGCGAGGTTTTGTCCAGGTTTGTGTCCAGATTTTTCGACCACGCGAACAACTCCAACATTGTCACTAAATACGGGCATATCCCAGTTTACGATAGAAGATCCATTTTTAGCAATAACCCAAAGATCACCAGGACAACGATCTACTCTCGGTGATTCCTTGTCAACTTGAAGAGATTGACATTTAGCACCAGCATATCCGTTTGGACATACTCTTTGACCACAGTGTGATGGAACTATTCTTTCTACACCACCAATTGTATCTTCATAGCCAGCCCAAGTCAGTACTAAGCCATTATAAAGTACAGGTTCTGTTCTGCAGTCGCGAACTTGCTTCTGTATTTCATTTGTCACATCTAGTGCGCGATTCCAGATTTGTACTTTAGTCAAATGCCCTTGGAAACCTGATTCAGTGTAAGCCTTTGGATTGTCTGATTGTGGTTTACCTAAAGTTACCCATACACTGTAAAAGATAAATTAGTTAATATAAAATTTTAATAAAAAATAATAAAAAATAAATAAGTTTTGTTTACATTTATAATTCATTCATCAATCAGCAACAAAGTAAATATTAATTATACTTACTACTGTGGCAGTGATTTGCCACTTCCATAACCCTCAAGTTTACTTGCAATTAATCCTTCTGTAATAAGAGTCAATTGTCCACCATTGTTACCATCCCATACTAAAGCTACATGATGCCACTGTCCATCATTAACTGTTGCAAATTCACCAAAACTCATATAAACATCTTGCAGTTCTGGGAAGAGTGATACTTGTACGCCACTCGAATGTGCTTGTATTATAGTTCTTTTATTAAGAGCAATTTGAGAGTTGCTGAAAATAAAACAGGAGATAAAATAAAATGGCTTTGCTTAAATATTTTATAGGAAGCTTAAAGTTCAAGACACTAACCTTACACCATAGGCCGTAAAGAAAATACCTCCTTCATCTTGTTGCGTGTATTGTACCCACATTGCAATAGTAAGACTGTCAGCAGATCCTGTAGCAAACGGCACTACTTGGGCAGCACTGGATCGTAATGGATCACTAAAGTAAAGATCATAATCTACGCTAATTGCTGTAAAAATAAAGTAAAGGATAGTGTATTATATTATTGTCATTTTTTTAATTCTTTTTTTAGATTATAAGTACTACAGTATGGTACTTACTTTTTCTGCAATCATCGCCTGTTAGATTGAATGGACATTGACAATAAAATCTACCGGGCAAGTCAATACAAGTTGCGGATGGTGGGCAAGAATTTTCTTTGCAGTCAATTATATCTTCATCACAGTTCTTCCCTGTGAATCCCGGAGAACATATACAAGAATATCCTTCCCCTTCATCAATACACGTAGCTCCATTCTGACAAAGACCCGCTTCACAAGCATCAAACTCGTATTGACAACCAATTCCTGTGTAATCCAGTGAACATGTACAATTTAGGCCTGAACCAAAGTCTTGACACTTTCCACCATGCATACAAGGACTACCGATGCATCTTTCAGGAGCAGTCTCACATTGCTTACCATCAGTTCCACTCGGGCATCTGAAAATATACAGAAATTAATATTGATAAACATAAAAGTAAAAGAGAAACACGTAATTCTTTTACTTACACACAGAAGTAGTCCTGGAAGAGATCAATACATTTAGCGTTATTTTGACAAGGCAGATTCATGCAATTACCAATGTCACGCTCACATCGCTTTCCAGTCCATCCTGGTTGACACGCACATTTATAACCACCTATTTCATCTTTACAGGATCCACCATTGTAACATGGATCAGAAGCACAATCATCTATATTATTTTCGCACCATTCTCCACTAAAACCATTACGGCATACACATTCATATTTATTATCTAAATCAACACATTTTTCAGTGCCCGCTGGGTTACAAGGCTCATTCAAGCATTCATCTATAGCAGTTTCACACTGGAGTCCAATATATCCTGGTCGACATTTACATGTAAATCCATCTAACTGATCTACACACGTGGCGCCATTTTGACAAGGATCTGAGGTACAATCATCAATAGTGTGCTGGCATCGTTTTCCTGTATAACCCGCTTCGCAGCTACAAGTAAAATCATCAATACTATCAATACACCGACCTCCATTTTCACATGGTGAAATTATGCATTCATTAATATTTATGTCACACGACGGTCCGGTCCACCCCGGATCACATACACATTTATGAATAAACAACTTGTCAACACAGATACCGTGTCTGCATGGTTGGTTAGAACAAAGATTAATTTTTTCATGACAGCGTTTTCCTGTGAAACCTGGTGGGCAAGCACAGCTAAAATCATTTACTAAATCAGTACAAGGTGCACCAAGTAAGCATGGCTTTTCAATGCAGTCGTCTGTATTAATTTCGCACAGTTGTCCTTCCCATCCAGGTAAGCATTCACATTTATATCTTCCTTGTTGTAATGCAGTACATGATGCGCCATTTTTGCAAGGATTACCATTTGCTGTGCATGGATCAATCTGAAAAAATATTCATAGAAAATGGTGTCAAAATATAAAAATATAGTGTTGGGATATTTGAGATAAAATGCACTTAGATGTGACATCGCTACTACTATAAATAACCTAGGTGCCTGATAAGAGACGAAGAGACGCAGTTAGGTTAGAATTATATCTAGCTATCGATATTTTATCTTTTTAAATTCACTTATTGGATTAGTTGAATTGGTTTTTAATTTTATTTAATTCGAACTTGTGTTCTTTTTATTCACCTAACTTCTGGTTCCTAAAAATGGAATATTAAAAAAATATTTCAAAATAAATTGCATAATATATTGTATCACTTACCGTTATATCGCAATCAATTCCAGTGTAGCCAGATCTACATAAGCAAGTGTAATTATTATAGCCTGGTTCATCTTTACACATCGCGCGTTCAGGACAAGTATCGTTTCTACAATCAGATTTTTCTTCTTGACAATTAATCCCACCGTATCCTGTTGGGCAGGAGCATCTATAGCCTTGTGGAAGATCTATACAAGTTCCTCCGTTGTAACAAGGTTGACTTTCGCATTCATCAATATCTATTTCACATCTTCTTCCAGAAAATCCAGCTGGACAGTAGCATTGAACACCATGTCCTTTTGGTACACATAATCCTCCATGTTGACAGGCACTATTAGAACATTCAACTGGTAAGCATTCTTCAAGTCCCGATGCACCCGTGCTAACTGTTTTCATATTTGTTGGACATTCCATGCAAAGTGTCTGTCCAATTGAATTTTGATAGAAATTTCTGGGACATTGCGAGCAAGGGGCTAAACCAGTTGGTGAGTATGTACCTGGTGCACATTTTGCTCTGCATTTGTCTTTTCCGTTAGCTGCAGGCTGGTACGTAAAAGTATTTACAGGACATGCTTGACAATCCTTGAATCCACCCAGAGGTGGTTCACTTGTGTAACTATTTCGTGGACATTCTAGGCAAGGTACGAGCCCCGTAGGTGAATATGTTCCATAGCCACAAACTGGTATACAATCCGACAAATCTTTAGATCCTTCTTCTCTCGTAAATGTACCCTGTGGACATTTAAGGCAAGAACCTTGCCGCGCTTGATTTTGGAAAAATCCTCGAGGGCACATGGTGCAAGCTTTCTGTTTTTCTCCAGCAAAAGTTCCAGCGGGACAGTGCACTGGAACATTAAAAATACGTATTAATAATATATACATGAGTAGATTCTATATACTTGTATTATGATTTTTGTAATAAATAGATACTTACAACATCTTGGTACGTCATTAGTATCCATATTTAGCACTTCACCAACGCTACAAGTGAAACCACGGGAAATAGAACTTCTAATAGCTCTTAAAGGTGGGCATTGATTACCAATTGAAGAAACATTTAAAACGGGTTCAATAAGTGCACTTGCATAAGGCACTGATAGATCAAAAATAAGATTAAGCGTGGAGCCACAAAGATCATATAGTTGAGTTTGTCGTATAGCTGGTATTATAGCTAGGACAAAGTCCATTTTTACAACGTTTTCATCTAAAAGACTAGGCATTGCTTTGACAAATGTTACATTAATATTCACATTTACAGCAGAACAACGTTGAGATAAACGTTCATTCAAAACGTTATCGTATTGAGCAAGCAGATCTTTGTATTGAGGTAGGCACGCATTTGAGACTGCCCCTAGAGCACGGTATTGTACACTTGCTACTACATGATAGGCAGCTTGTTGAGTATCTAAAACATACAAAGTACATGAATAAATATTTTATATTGCAATAATATACACAAAATTGTAACATAATGCATGTAATCAGCCCTTTTTAACGTCCCACTGCTGGGCACGGGCCACCCTTCAGTACGCGGGGAATCAGGCTATAGTCCACCACGCTGGCCAAGTGCGGGTTGGTGGACTTCACATGTCTTTTAAAAACTTGCTAGGTTCTTTCAGACATGCAGGTTTCCTCACGATGTTTTCCTTCACCGTTAAGATAAATGGTAATCATGTTGGAAATGATTCGCACATGAAAATATCAGAGGTGCGAGTTCCGGAATTTGAACTCGCATCTGTCGGTTTCCAAGCGCGTTACCACATGGCTACCACTGCCTTATAACATAATAACATTAAAATTTTGATGATGACAGCAAATGATGATAATAATTACTCACTTTCTGAAACACAATCTGGAACTACTGCAGTTGGAACCCACTGGCGTTTTGTTTCACATACAAATGTTTTTACTGGTTCACCGTCTGTAAATCTGAATCCAGGGCTGCAAGTAGCAATACACTGAATTCCTCTATCACCAGGTAGACAATTCAAAGCTCCATGAGCTGGTGGCATCAATTCCCAGTCAACGCAAGGTGTTGCTTGTACTGATACCTAAAATTATTATCGTTATGCTATTTTACCATAAAAACAATGTATGTATATGATATAATATATAATATGTAGTAAGAAATATAACTTAATAAAAATATATTATTAGAAGTGATAGATTACCTGGAAGTTACACTGAGCTTTGTTACCATTCTTATCTGTAGCTATAACAGTAACATTTTCATAGCCACGTATAGGTATAACAGCCCTTTCTGGAATGAATTTTAACGATACTTCTCCAGAAGCATCAGTTGCGTTTATTCTTCTCCTTGTTTCATTAAAGTTAACTGCATAACTATCTTGCTTATCAACTAGTTCAATGACATAACTTTGTGGGCAACTCAATCTAGGAGGCGTGTAATCAGGTACTGTTATGTTTACTTCGCAAATAGCAACGTTACCATCAAAATCAAAAGCCACGTATCGAACAACCATATTATGAAAAACTTGTATCGGAGTTCTAAAGTGTTGAGGTGTAACTTCTAATCTAGCAATAGCACCAGAATTATCAGTAGCAGTAGGTTCAGTAAAGTTAACCGGTAAAAGTCCACCATTAACATCAGTTTGTACTATTATAGGATGCTGAGGACAGTTTTGGAAGACTGGGGGCTCGTTATCTAAAAAACACAACTATTATGTGATTTACGTAACAAAATTAATTAACCGTAAAATAAACTTTATTATAAACTTACCCACACATGGTGAATACCCATAATCATAACCTAACAAGGGCTCCACAGAAGGTTCGTCACAACCCATTAATTCAAATTTAAGACAAGCATTATCCATAAAACTGACGATTCCCAAAATAACAAATCTAGCCTGCACATATTTCGGTAACGTAATCATAGCTAATTCACCATAGTTTCCAGGATCTCTCATTGTTAAATTAAAGTTAGGAAAATAGACGACATAATTTTCATTTTCAGCTTGTTTATAAAAAAATCTAATTTCTGTTGGACGACCAACGATATCAGAGGTAACAACACCTTTGACTAATATAGCTTTGACTCTGTACACTTTTCCTAAATCAACGCTGACGTAGGTGAAAGCTTCTTGTTTTCCACACCATCCAGTTACGGAATTTAGTCTTATATTTTTAGCTTCATAGTTAGGTCTCTCCGATGTAGCATTAATTGCTGAATCTGGTATTCTTCCCGAAGCAAGGCCAAGAGGTTTTATAATTTTACATTCAGGTTCACGCATGCATGTAATAGGTCTGGGATTAATTAAAATATATCCGGATCTTGAACATCCAAATAGAACTTCCGATCCTTGTTCATAGCTTCTGGCAATTTGATATCCATCAGCTGGTCGACCTGGATCTTCACAAACTGGACCTTCACATCTTAAGTCTCCAAAGTCCCAGACTCCATTTGCTTGGCATCTTACTACATTGTCATGTTTACTGGTTTGACCTGCTAGCTTAAAAGTATTTTGACAACCGAAAAAGAAAGAGCTTTGGTATCTAGTGTCAAGGTATTGGCCATATTCAGCTCCAGGCGTTGGCATAGGGACGCCACAATCTTTCCTGGGACATTGTGGCTGTGCGCCGGAAAGCCAATAATCAGGTAGACCCTATAACATGAAAGAAAAAAATAAATAAAGTAATAACTTGTTTCAAAAATTGAATCAGGTGACTTGGATGAAAAAAAAAATGCTTTAAAAAACGAATACTATTATAATTTAAAATTACAATATAACATAACTCACTGGCTTAGGATCATAGACACATTGTCTGAAGGACGAAGTAAGAGTATTTCTTAGTTGACGTCCTGGTGAAGTACATGTTATTGTAACATTATCTCTATAAGGTACTAGCACACTTTCTGGATCATCCCTTATAATTTGTAACCCATCATTTTTGTCATCTGATAATGTCACGCACCGTGCATCTGAAAAAAGGTTTTTTATAACTGTGTTTTTAGACATTTTAAGTTGAATGTATTCGTATGCACAAATTATTTAATATTTACATTGACATTCTGGAGCGGTTCCATTCCAGGTTCCACTTGAAGTACATAACAATGAAGAGAATCCTGACATAACATAGCCAAAATTACACTGGAATTCTACAATATCTCCAAAGTGATAAGAACTCTTTGTCGACAAAATTTGTCCATTCTCTGGGGATACTAATGTTGGGCACATTACAGGAACACATGATTTATTTCTTTGGTATGTATCACCGTCTCGTTCACCTGTTTCTGAATTTTCAATAGCGAAACCGGCTGTACCATTGAAAGAGTAAAGTTCATATCCAATGTTGCATGCGCAAGAGTAATTTCCAGGCCTATAAATAATAAAGTTATTTGTGTGTAAGTTTATTATGATATATTGCAAAAATGCACTATTACATACATATGTACATAAATATTTTAGGAAACTTACGTATTTAGACATTTTTGATCGCAGCCACCGTTATTTTCACTGCATTCATTGATATCAGAGCAGTCGAGTCTGGCACATCCCATAATTTCTAATTTCAAACATGGTGCTACTACATAGTCTTGTATTTTAAACTTAACATATTGTGCTTCAATAGGCATTGGCAAGTTCAAGACTGATAACGTCGGTTCCAATATACGGAATTCAACAGCTGTCCCATCAGGGTTAGTATAATCTTTAAACACGTCTGTTAAGTCGTTTGTGTATTGAATTCTAATAGCAGACGTAAATGCAATGTTAGCATCAGCTCTCATAACACTCATTGTGCGAAATCCTCTGATAATTGTTGGGGATCTTAGATCAACTAGCACCCAGTTAGCACCAGCTTCAAGATTATTACCACACCAACCACCTCCATTATTCAAACGAATCATCTGTAATAAAAATATAATAAAAATACATAAATACTAGTTTGCGTAATTTTTAAACTTAAAGTAATAAATAAATAGTTTTCTTACTCCTTTATAATATCCAGGTTCAGAAGTGGAAGTAGTTATGGATTCATCAGGAATAGCACCATTAATTAAACCTAAATCTCCAACAGGTCTACAGTCTAAGCTAGGTGTAAACCCTGGACGACAAGGACAATAAAATCCACCGTGAGTGTTTTTACATTCAGTTGACGCAGAATCACATTGACTGCTTGAGCATTCATTGATATCCTCACAAGTTGGTGCACTATCGAATTCTTGATAAGGTCCACATTTTATTATACTGGGACCATTTAGTTTATATCCTAAAAAAAAACAAAGGGAATCATGAATCTTGTAGATCAAATAATTATTTTTTGAATAGAGTTTTGAATTAGTTTACAACTTACCTTTGTAACATTGAACACGAGCTTCATCACCAAACATGTAGACTTTACTTTGATCGACAATAAATCCGTTCTTTATTTCAGGAAGTTTAGGGCATAGAGCTTTAGAACACGTTGGTACTTCGCCAGACCAAGTTCCATTACTCATACAAAGAAGAACAGGTTGACCAGAACGAACATAACCAGGTTCACACTCATATCGGACTATGGTACCATAACTACGGCCTCCACCATTTAATATAGTCACATTTGCATGTGGTACATCAGGAAGAGCCACACATTGTGAAGCTGAAAATATAATGGCATATTAATATAAGCACCTGGGCCACCGAGCACCGCTCGGAGTTTTTGGTTAAAAAGTACAATTTTCTTTACTAAAAAAACCTTGAATAAATTTAAAAAAAAAAACAAAAATAAATTATACCTTTGTATCCGACCGGGATTCGAACCCGGAAACCTACGATTGTCAATCTTGCGTCTTTTTTAAAAAAAACTAAAAAACTGAATAAATATTAAAAAATCAATAAAAGTAAAAACTTTGTATGCGACCGAGATTCGAACCTGGACACCTGTGATTGTTGATCTTGCACCTTGGCCGCTTGACCACGATGCTTATTCCCGAGCGTGCAAATTACCGACCATATTTTGCGTGGAATAGCAAGAGAAAACTGCATGAAAACTCGAAAACACGCGTTTTCTCAGACATAAGATTAACCTAGATCGATTTATCGCCCCCCAGTATACTAAATTACATGAAAATCGTTGCAGCCGTTTCCGAGATTCAGATTACAATGAAAAAAATAGTATTATTATTCGCTAATAGATGCCAGAAAGAGTCATTTGTCTCAGTTTATGTTTAAGTGGCAACATTAGGACTACCCAAACGCCACTATTTTATTATTTTCTTCCAATAAAAAAATATTAGTTTATGTTTTAGTTGATTATCGATAAAGTTGATTATTGAAAACACGAATAAAATGACATTTTCTAAAAATACCTTGGCCACCGAGCTTCGCTCGGAGTTTTTGGTCAACAGTACAATTTTCTTAAAAAAAAACCAAAAAAAAATTATACCTTTGTACAGGGATTCGAACCCGGACACTTATTCAATCTTGCGCTTTGGCCGCTTGACCATGATACTTATATCCGAGTGTGCAAATTATTGAACGTAATATTTTGCGTGGAATAATGCAAAGGAAAACGGCATGAAAAGTCGAAAACAAGCGTTTTCCCAGACATAAGACTAATCTAGACCGATTTATCGCCCCCGAAACCCCGTGTTTACTAAATTTCATGAAAATAGTAGAGAAAATAGTTCCCGAGATTCAGATTATATATTGATATATATATACAAAAGTTGCTCGTTTAAATATACAAGATAAAATATAATTAATTGTTATAAAACTAATGGTTAATAATGATCCCTCAAAAAATTATCATTTTTTATAATTTTATAAAAAAAAAATACCTAAGCAAGTCGGTGTTCTTTCCCATCTTCCATCTGATAAACATGAAATCCTCTCTATTGGTTGTCCGGTTGGAAATGCAAAACCTGCGTAACATTGATAAGTCGCCACTCCACGGTAGGTTACGTTTGTGGAACCAATGGAAAAACCATTATCGATTTGGGGCACGGGTCCACAGTACACCTCTAAAAAAAATATAAAAGTAAATGAAAAGGTATGTTCTATATATAGTACACAAAACATATTCGTTGATTATTATTTCGTTTGTATGAATTTAAAACATTACTTTCTTTCTTAGTTTACGTGAATATATGATATTTTTAAATAAAACGATCTTTTCAGATTTTTGCTTTCCTTTGATTTTTGGATCCCTACGTTTACACTCTTAAACCTTCTCTAAAAACTTAGCCTCTCCCGTGGCCATGATTGCTGTACAGCATAGGAAACAGAAAATATAGTTTTATTTAAAAACATTACAATGTCTTCACAAAAACTGTATCATTATTAAATAATGGTATATTATTCAAATATACCCTACCTTGGCAGCTAGGAATGTACGTGGTAGACCAATTGCCGCCATCTAAGCATTGTGTTGTAATTCGAGACTTCCCAGTGGCGAATTCTTGACCAATTGGACAAGAAAAAGTTATTGTTGTTCCAAATGCAGTATCTCTATTAGATGCTAATGCTCCTATACCAGACTTCAGTGGTGGACAATCTATAAAAAAAACAAAATTACATGAGCTTAAATGCTACACGAAAGATATGTAATGTTTTTGTCTAATTAAGTTACCTGCTGAAAATGTTGCTTTCCAGCCAGCTCCATTATGTAGTGCATCGGACATGAATCGTATTAACATTTCTCCACTTGAAGCAGTTAAAGTAATTCTTGGCTTAACTGTGAAACCATTTTCAGAATGTAATCGTAGTCCACTTGTGCTAGAGCCATCAAATACTTGGACTACATCTGATGGATGAATATTAAATTCGTCAAATTTCAAAGAAAGTGGCCCTCCGTTCGGGTTTTTAATTCTATATAAGCATTCCTGGTTATTTGGATAGTTACTAAGACCATATGCGGGTGAAGTAAATGTACCATTAGCTGCTATTATTGTTGCGCGACATCCTTGTGAATATCTCATGTTAAAACCTTTCTTAGAATCACCAAGACTCGTCCGGAAATACATATATAAATGATTTGTAGTTGATATAACTACTTTTTGATTTTCTTCACCTGGTCCAGTCAACCTAGCGAGTACAGGGCTTGAAGGGGTATTTCCATCTTTTATTACTATGTAGTCTCTATTCATTTCCAGATCTAAATCTTCAATATCTAATGAAACAATTCTGCCTGGCTGTGCTTCAATTATGTACATACATTCCAAACCCCCAGGGTAGCTGTTTGGATAGCCAGGAGATGTTAACACTTGACCTTGAGGTGTTGCTCTAAGAATTCCACCACAGTTGGATGACTCAGTTTTCCAAGAGGCACGGAAACCTTTTCTTTCTACAGACCCATCTGAGCTAAATTTAATAATCATGAAATTAGAGGCAGAAACGTAGACTGTATTAGATAAATCTTGTTTTCCTGATAGTGTTGCTAAATTGACAGATTTGTCTTCAGTTCGGCCGCCCACTAAAATTTGAACAGTATCAAAAGACTTTTCAGTTTCAAAATCTTGGAACTGCAGTACGATGTTTTGTCCTTGAGGTCCCTCTAGTGTCCATTTACATTCACTGAATGGTGCATATTTATGAGGGTAATTCGGACTTTCTACCACATCACCACTACTAGCCATATAAAAATGACATTCAGTAGCACAATCCATTTCATCTGACGCATCACCACAATCGTCTTGCTTGTCACATTTGAAGGCCGCATTTATACATCTTCCGTTTGAACAATGGAAGGTTCCTGTAAAATTCAATTACTATTGTACCAATTGTTTAAGACAATAAATAAATTTATGTTACATTTAATACTTATATGCAAATAAATGTTTTTGTTTTTAAATGCTACCCTATCTTTTACACTTATATTAAAGAGACAATGGTATTTAGTAAGATGTATAAGTTTAACATGACGGTGTGTAAAATAACAAATTAAACATTAAAATTTGAAGAAGTATGTAAATATAAAAGATTTGTTGAAATCATTATAATTTTTTAATTACTCTATGATAACGTTACTAATAATTTTAAATGCCAACCTGCGGGACAGGCATTTGCTCTGCACATAAACGGAAGAAGCGTTTCACACGTTGTTAATTCCCATGATTGCCTTTCAGATGTGACGTGAACGTCAACACATTCACCATCCTTTGGGTTTGGTTGTCTTAGATCCCAAAAACCGGCATACTGTGATACTAAAGCCCCAGCAGCCGATTCCAGTGTGTTTGTTCTAAGGTCATCTACAGTAGCTAAACCAAGCCAGTAGTGACTGTTACTAGGACTAGATGGCACCAAATTTGCAGTCATATTATTTTCTGAATAACTATCTATTACCATCAATTCGCTGCCGTACCTGAAATAGCAAAAAGAAATTTATTACTATATTGTAGCGTAACTTTTTTTCAACTTAACCATCTCATTAAGATCATACCTTCGGCATAATTCCGCCGCTTTCTCCCAAGAATGTCTAATATTGAAAAATTTGTAACAATGTAGCCCCTTTAACTCCCATCCTGAAAATAAAATAATAATAATTTTAATAAAATTTTATTAAGGCAAGGAAATAATTGTATGAAACAAGGCCATATATTATTTTTGCTATATTACTATTTTTTCTATTTGAAAAAGTTAGATTAAAAACTTTTCTAGGTACATTTTAATATTATAATAAACGACAACAATTCTCGTAATGAACAAGCACTTAGTGAATAGATTCTTATAACTTTCTCTTTTTAAGGGCATATCGTTTTGTGTAAAGAAAATCTTAAACAAACGGTCATCTCAGGCATAATTATGAGGCTGTCAGTGTTCACAAGAAAGTATTGTATGCTGTGTCGAATAATTAATTATCTTTAAGTATATTCGTTCTCAAGCGTCTTTCTCTCTACTTCTACCACCTATTTTTAGCTTAATAAAAATATGCGTTCAAGTTAATTTTGGAATATTCTTATATTGCATATTTTTAGATATCAATTTTCCCATTATCAAAAGGTAAAAATAGCACTTCCGTGCGTGTGAATAAAAAACAAACAACGTTAAATAGAGCGTGTGAGTTCGTAGATCAGTGAAGACTTCGTTGGATCCACGCTTCACTAGACTGTGCAATTCGATGCAATGTTTGACCTACTTATAGTATGTTTCTTTGGCGAAATTCATTCAGCAAATCGAGTCATTCGTGCCGCAAAAATTTATAAAAACTGAAATTCAATAAACTACTAGGTATTATAAGAAATTGTGTTTATGTATATGTTTGCTACTACTTCAGGCTGAAAAAGCTGGACGGATTAGGACGAAATTTAGTATACAGATACACTTACAACATGGTGTAAACACATAAATTTAACACACACATATGTATATACATAATATTATACATATACACAAATATATATTCAAAATGAAAAATTTTAATCTTAAAAAGTTAATTCTATCTAAAAGGTATGTACATATATGCGATTGTTATCTATCAAACATGAAGACGTTAAATAATTCAATTCATGTGCTTATTAACACGTTCACTGCGTCATCATTTTGAAAGAACTTTCAGCTGGTGCTTTGGAGACCTAAAAGATCTCGAAACTAGCCTACCCTTTGGTGCGTTAGAGACCTAATCAGTCTCCTAAAAATACAGTTTTGAAAATAATTTATATCTTCCAAAAAACTAATGACATATATTTTAAAGTTTTTGTGGGTCAAGAGAGCCTATTGCTCTACATTTTGCTAGGTTCGCACGCAGTTATGACATTAGAATAAGCTACAAATACCAAAAAAAAAATAGATATCGATTGTATCTCGTACCGCAACCGAAGATAGTTCAATATGTGTAGTAAGTAGTGATGGGAATATCTCAGTTGTCGATTGAAAAAGTTTTATTAAAGAAGTTTATTTATAAACTATGCAAAGTGTTTTTCATTAAAACATAGTAAGCACATTGATTATTTGCATTGTGCGCAAATGGTATTTTTTCAGCTTTTTTTAGAAGCGTCAGTGCTGTTTAATGTGCGTCGTAATTTTTCATAACAACCCACACAACGTCTTTTTTTGTCGCCACGTTGGAAAACATGATCTGTACATCTTCCTTCGGGGAATTCTGTAATAAAAAGCATTATATTTTCCAAAATTGTAATTATACTGGACGATGCAGCACTATAATCCAGCGTTGATTTTTCATTCTTAGAAATCTCACCAAAATAAAACAATTTTATTAAATAATTAAATAAAATATATTAAATAAAAAAATTTTTACACTTTTTCGAAACGTGCGCGCAACCTCCCACGTCGACACTAGGACAACACTAAATCGATTCACACAGCGCCCGCGCCCCCCAACCTCCCTTTCTTGCGTCTACGAGGCGTACGATTCCACGAGTATCGACATGTCTCCTAACGCAAGGAATAAAAATAATTATACTACTGTGCGTTAGGGACCTAATCCATCTCTATTTATTATTTTTATGTCTTCGAATTCACCTTTAAGTAGGAAGCAAATATGTATATTTGTCTTACTCATACTTAAAGAACTTTACACGTTAGAGCCTCCCGCAAGGAGTGAAACAACACGATTATAGTCAACGCACAGTACGAAAGTCCTGCAAGAGATCTGATAGATCTCGTAATGCAGCGAACGTGTTAACATTATTATAACACATTTTGTTGGTCAAAGGATTATATCATGTACATATGTGTAAACAAAAACTCGGTTAATACTTTCTTAAATGTAGGTGAAAATTTTCGGATTTTATCCGAAACGATAGTTGTTGTAATCTACTCTCTGTAACAACTAATTATATTGACTTAGATATTGAGAGACTTGAAACCCTTTGAGGGTCTCCCCTGTGACCATGATTGCTGCAAAGCATTCGAAACGTCGTAACAAAGCTGAATCTGTACATTAAATATTTTTTGGAAAATCTTATTGAAATAAACATTATTATTGATACAGAGGCCGAATCTATAGTTTTTAGAATTTTTGTCTGTCTGTCTGTTACCACATCACAGAAAACCTACTGAAGGGATTTTGATGAAATTTGGTATGGTGATAGCTGGTTATCCGGGTCAACATATAGGATACTTTTTTCCGCGGGAAATGTCTCATTTCTGAGAAAAAATACAAAAATTGCAATGTAAGAGTATACTAATATGTAGAGCCGCGGGCAATGCTAGTTTAAAATAAATTAATGTAACATCAATGTATTATATGGCAATTGATAATGTATATAAAACATTTGTCATAGTTATAAGTTTATTCCCATAAAGGTCATGGGTGAGTAGCACTAACTGTAAGGAATCTGTTTCAAGCGTCTCACTAGCATTGGAGTTAGGTGTGTGAAGTGTTTCCTTTGAGAATTTCTGCCCTGGATCTACCGGAGATTGAATTACGAATCAACAACCTATTTGCTGACTTTGTAGTCCATCGTATATCTATTTGGTGAACGTACCTACGTCAGTCCTACATATATATTCATTTATTTTGACGCTATCGACCTGGCTATATCATTTTATTATTTAAACTAGCGTTGCCCGCGGCTCCGCCCGCGTTCAGATGACCAAAACAAAATTCTTAGGTTTTACATATTAGTATACTGTATTGCAGTTTTTGTATTTTTTCTCAGAAATGAGATATTTTTCCGCGGTAAAAAGTATCCTATATGTTACCCGGATAGCCAGATATCACCATACCAAATTTAATCAAAATCCCTCTAGTGGTTTTCCGTGATGCGGTAACAGACAGACAGACATAAATTCTAAAAAAATATTGATTCGGCCTCTGTATCAAAAATAATGTCTATTTTAACAAGATTTTCCAGATAAATATTTAATGTACAGATTCGGCTTAGTTAAAATTTTATTATACATATGTATAGATAATATTTGTTAAAAAAACAGTTAAAAAATGTTTTATTAGTAGAAAATGTATTTAGAGAATACTAATGTTGTAAAAGTATGTGAAGTAATTCGTATTACGACCAGTGTAATTATAACAAAGTCGGGAGCACACCGTTACAAAACGAGAAAGTGTTGGTACTTTACATAGTATAGTCACTATCCCGTTTAGTTAAATATTACAAAAGTCTATAGTGAGTCATACTAATGTATATGTGACCGTAGTTGTCGCCTTTCACTTACGAATGAGCTTACAAGGCTGTGTCTAACGTCTTGTTTTAAAGAGATCATAGTTGTGCTGAGCGAATATATTGATAAGGATGGCATTCTTTGTGTATGTACATTGTTTTTTTTGTAAATATTTTTTGTGGGCTATTTAGCCCACAAAAAATTTAGCTTATTTAAGCTTGTTTATAATTCTTATAGGGTGATAGTAGGAGTAATAGCTAGGAATATAATATTAATTCTTGTAATAAATAATTTAACCATGAGACGTTATGGATGAAAATACGTTTGTTATAAGAGGAGAATGCTTAATTTTTAAGGTTCCGTATCCAAAGGGTAAAACGGGACCCTATTACTAAGACTCCGCTGTCCGTCCATCTGTCTGTTATCAGGCTACAGTCGCATGATCCGTGATAGTTAGACAGTTGAAATTTTCACAGATGATGTATTTCTGTTGCCGCTATAATAACAAATACTACAAAACAGAATAAAATAAATATTTAAGGGGGCTCCCATACAACAAACGTGATTTTTTTGCTCGTTTTTGTTCGATATTGATAACGGCAACAAGTAGACGCTTAAAATATTCACAGAATATTTAGTTATATATTCATTTTAAAAATAAATAATTAAATTAAAATAAAACAAATATTTAAGGGGCTCTTCCATACAACAGACATGATTTTTTTGCCGTTTTTATAGATAATGGTACGGAACCCTTCTTACGCAAGTCCTACTCGCACTTGGCCGGGAAATTTTAGGTATTTATTATTTATTAATTTATAAGCCAACCGTGAAGTAGCTGTAAATAGTGCAAATAATATTATGTATATTTCTTACCGCAAGTACATTAAATTACACAATTTAGTTTGCACCATAACTTCAGTACAAGTAATATTTCATGTACCATGAATGCATTGTTGGTAATTCTGCAACATGTTCATATGTTATAACTTGTAAGACGAGTTACAATATTCGTCTTAGTCCGTCTTTCAGCAAGTAAATATGGAAAGCTAAGAAGAGAGCTTTAGCGGCCCATGTTAATACTCGTGTTTGATATAAAGCGAGTTTTGATAACGTTGTTTTTCTTATGGTAATTCTTAGTGATTAAATTTTAATGTATTGTTTGATTTTCTATACATTAAAATAGTTTTCTTTTAAGAGTACAATCTACATATAAATAAGAATTAAATGATGTTCTTTGTAAGCGTATCACTTGTGAACGGCTCGACCGATTTCGCTATTTTTTTTAAATGTTCGTAACACTTTGAATAAGTTTTAGATTAGTATAAATTAAGAGAAAAATTGGAAAAGTATTTAGGAATATTCGGTAAAAACTGAAAGTGCTTTTGTTTATAGGGTTTTTGCATGAATTCATCGATTATAAGCAAATTAATTGAAATTT